GAACTAAACCATTTTGATTGAGGCCTTTGATTAAGGAGAATTGTAATTATTAGTAAATTAAAATATATTTACAGACTTCTCCAACATTTATTGGAAATTACATTTTGCAATAATAGATTTAAAGTCATCTCTGGAAAAAGATTCAAGTAAACACTACGAAACTATTAATGATGCTTTATCAGATATGTTGGTAATCTTCTTTCCTGATTATGCAGCAAAATCGGACATGCAAATGTTTATGGAAATTAATTAATTGGAAAATGAAGAGAAACATTACTAGGCACAAGAAGAGAAGATGGTTAAGAGCAAAGTAAAATAGGAGGTGGCTATCATTGAGTAATTTGTATCAAAAGCAGAACTTGATTTAATTGATGTTTCAGCATAGAGTCCTATGAGGGATAAGCAAGAAGAGTAATTATAATCTTTGAAGTCTGCCACTATGGATTAGTAATAGAAGTATGTTTGGAAAATCAATAATTCATTATCAATTGATGTCTTGACCATATTTTATAGATAAAAGCTATTGAGATACTTGGGATTTCATGATTTGATGTAAAAATTGGTTGAAAACTTAATATAAGAAACAAGCACTCTGTTTAGAGAGAAGGATGTACTTGTGAGTAATGCAAATAAGAAGGGATGGGAAATCAAAAGTGACATCTTAGAAAAGAGCATTCTATTTTTGATTTATTTTGTAATACGAAATGAAGAAAACCAAGAAATGATATTGAATTTAAGCAAGCGTAAAGATTCATTCCTTCATGAAATGTCTAATGTAAAGAGAAAGTAAATGCAAACTTTAATATATATATTGTTTGCTGAACTGTTTCGAGACAATTATAATATCTTATTCTCACTAGATAAGTACAATGATGAAAATTCAATTTTGGCCAAATTATTCTCTATTTTTGGTAACAATTTTGCAAATAAAAACTATGAAGCAGCCATCTATTTCCTTCAATTCTTACAAATCCTTTTGAAAGTTAAAGAAAGTGATGTTGTGTAAAATAACTATGTTATTGTCCATCTGTTTTAATCTACCAAATAATTAACCACATTCCCTAAAGACATTGGAAGTCTCATTCAAACTATATATCTCTTTAGATTGGAATAATTCTTTACAGGTAATCATGCACCTGCACCTCAAGCACAGCACAATTAACAAAAGCATCCACAATTCAATGGATTCATTGAAATGCCAATAGAAATTTTGTTTATGACTGAACTCCTAAGGTTGATGAGGTTTATCTGCTCCAAAAGATCGGTTCTAATCAATGAATTCGTTAAAAAGCTCTTTCCAGTGAATAGAGTGGCTGAAATGTTGAAACAATTGGATGAGTGGTACCCCTTGAAATCTGAGCTTATACTCTATTTTCAAAGTGTATTTTTAGAGAATCTACAATTCATTACTTTCGAAGAAAAACAAGAAGTCGTTAAAACTATTACTGAAGTAATTTTTAAGTAGATGACTGTAAGTTTTGTGGAGAATTAAAATCTTAAGAAAATGGCAAATGCAAAATTAGTAAATAGTGTTGTGTTCAATATTTTTGGCATAAGAAATCAGTATACAAATTAAGAGTTCATTATGTCAATACTCCACGAGAAAGCAAGTTTCATCTATGTGATTTACGGAGTGTTGGAAGTTACTAAGAACTTTGTAAAGAAGGTGTGTCCAAAATATTTCTTTAAAGATGAATAAGAGTACTTCGAGGAGTTTGTTCAGAATGAACTCCTCTTTATGGCATAAACTATTAGCGAAACCATTCAAAGAGTTTATGAGTTCGCTTCTGATATGCACAATGGAGGTTCTGGAGGTAGAATGAAGAATTCCAATATTAAAAGGAAAAGTGGGTAAAAAACAACCAAACTATATAATTTAACACATAAACTATTGTCTTGTAATTAAGAAGAGTAGAATCAAGAATTGAGTATTTTGGCTAAAGAGGATAATGAAGTCGATAAGGACAATATTATTAGAATAATCGATACGATATAGTCGGTTTAGACTTTAGACATAGCCTTTTAGTTGTAAAGGAATGATTTGCAATAAGGAGAATAAGGGATTTTAGATAAATGGACTAATTCAATTAAATCCTAGAGGACAAAACTAATTGATGAACACCTTGTAGCTTCGGAGAGAGAGAATGAAATTCAATAATTAGTAAATCTAATTGTTACGTTAAAGAGGGATGACACCACAAAGTTTAAGAGAATGGTAACTGCCCTTATTTAAATGTTATCTGAAACATCAGTATCTCCATCAATCAAATTGAAATCTATCAATATTGTAAGAAAACTGTCAAATTACAAAGAAGATCTTCACATAACTAAGTCGATTCTTAAAGATTTGGGAGAATTGGGATTCACTGATTTTCTTTGCGATTTAATCAAACTAGAGGGGGATTCCGAATAAAAGCTGGAATACATTAAAGCTTTTGTAGATTATATAGACGATTCATCAAGGGAAATTTAGAACTCCTTTTTATTGTATTTGTAGAGAGATCCTTAGAATATGTTTATCAATAATATGTAGAATTTCATTACTGATATGTTCTAAGATGTCAGAATGGCTGAGATATCAAAAATAGAAAGGAAGAATAGAAATATCAATAGAATATTAAACAATAAGATAAATGGATGCATTTTGATATTTGAGATGTTTCGTTTAGGTTGTGAAGATCATTTTAGTGATATGTAAAACTTTTTGAGGATTTAACCAAATAGTAAATAGCCCATTAATTTTATCATGTTTACAGCTGATCTATTTGAGAAATATGTTGAAATAATGAATGAACATAATGCGGCTTTAGGTTAAAAGATTCTCGATTTTTTAATTGAATGTGTTTAGGGTCCTTGTCTAGAGAACTAAACTGAACTATGTTAATCTACTAAAATATTGGAGGCATTAGAATAAATTATAGTTTAATAAAGAGTCGAAAAAGAGATGTTTCAAAGAAGAGACATAGTATTCTCCTCTTTAAGAAGTAAAGTATTTTTACTTCAATTATCTCTAATGGAAGGTAATAGTGATTAAGAGATTGCAAGAAAGATATCTCATTATTTCAATCCTGAGATTTTCTTTGAGAGAGTCTACTTGGTCTACTGGAAAATCATTAAAAAGATAAGAAATACTTAGATGCAAATAAATTTAGAAGTGAAAGTATTGGATAGAGTGAAGTCAGAAGCAGAAGAAGCCATAAATCATCATGGAGTTATTTAAACAAAGGACACAAAAGAGACTTTGCCTAATTAAAATTTATTCATGGAATTCTTCTCTGAGAATTTTCATAGTGCTCGTTCACATTAACACTTGAAAGTCTCATCATAAACTTTTGTGAATGCAATTTAAGAGGAAGATATGGAAGAAATGGTTGGTGAGACTTTTATGATGTATCTATTACTCAAGAAACTCACCAGATATATTCCTAGGATAAAAGATATTGAAAGTAATCCGAAATTGAGAAGAGCTCTTAATTACTACAAAAATGAGACTGCTTCAATCGAAATTGTGAATATGAATGGCAAATTGGAGAAAATCTATTTTTAAGTTCCAACTCTAATGAAATATTTAACAGAGGAAACCAAACTGTAATTTATGGAAGAAGTAGAGAGAGATTCTATTAATGATAAGATCAACGGATTACTAGATAATATGGATTATTTCTATATGGAAATGGTGCATTTTATGAAGTTAAGAAAGATTGGCATTAGATTTAACAACAATTTCATCGTTTATCTCAGAAATGTGTGTATTATTTTGGCTCTCCTTTTGAACATCTTAATTACAATAAACGACACTGAAGAAAAACTGGCGAACTTAGCCAAAGCCATAGCTATATTGGATTGTATTTTGTATGGATTGATCATGCTCATTTGGATATTTATTAGAATGTAATTAGAGTATGACCGAATCTATAAATAGGTGTCTGATTTGATCTAATTGAATTACAACAAGAAATCGAATCAAGGTTAGTCTTAATAAGTCAATCCAAAAACAGTCATATATCCATTCTAAATTACACTGTTGCAAACATTTCATATCATCAAAAGAATGTTATTCAGTAGTTATACTTTTTATTGGTTTTTATTGCTTGTAGTAAATTTGCTGGGTCTCCTGTATAATAAACTATTCTATGGTTTTCTATTGTTGGATATTATAGATCATTCTTAAGTGTTACGAAATGTTATCAAAAGTATCTCACTCAATTATAAGCAACTGTTGATGACTGCCTTGTTGGGAGTGTTAATAATGTATTTATATGATGTATGTAATTTAGGTACTTGTATTCATTGGTAGCATATCAAAGTGACGACTTTAAATAATAACTAAAAGAGAATAATAATAATGGAGGAGATGAGGCTTCTGATCATTTCGATTCAACAGTTTGTTATTCTGCCTTTTAATGTCTAGTTTTCGTAATTCATCAAGGTTTGAGAGCAGGAGGTGGCATAGGAGATGTTCTTGAAGCACCTCCAACCCATTCAAATTAAGATTACTATTCACAGCGAGTTCTCTATGATGTAAGCTTTTTTATTCTCATTAATATTATTTGGCTGAACATTATCTTTGGTATCATTATTGACACCTTTGCTGAGTTGAGAGATTAGAAGAATCAAAAAGGTAATCATCATGTATTATGTAAGATTTTGATTCTCAGAACAGATGTTATATATGCGACTTAACAAGAACAGTATTTGAAAAGGAAGGTATATCCTTCGATAATCATGTTAACAAGTATCACAACCCTTGGAATTACTTGGCCTATTTGATATATTTAAAAGTGAAGCAGAAAACTGAGCATACAGGCACTGAATCATATGTCTATAGCAAATTCTTGTAGAACGATATTAGTTGGCTACCCATCTAAAAAGCTATAGATTTGGAGTTGATAGTAGAACAATAACCTAAGTAGACAGTTGATTTCAATGTTGAAGAGCATAATTAAAAGTCGCTTCATTGAATTAAACCTTAAATTAGTTAAAAATATTCATTTAAATTTTCATTAGACTGGACATTGTTGAACTCTTGATTTATATCTTTCATTTTCTAGACATTCAAAGCAAATAGCGAAATCACATTCTGTACAATCAGCACCTCCTGGTTATTTCATTTATACCGAAGTCTTATCACAAACAGTGCATTTCAAACCCATAATCTTTTTCGTTACCTTGTGTCTTGCAGGACAGAGTACAGAATTTTCATGAGGATTCTTTGTTAACTCAGGTTCTTAACACTTTAAGCAAACAAAAAAGCAACATAAAGGACAACAATATCTACAATTTACTTATGTTTTCTGACATCTAAAACACTTCTTGGTCTTTTCTTCTCCGTTGGGATTCATCCAATATTACAACCAGTGACTTTTAGCACATTGAAATTGTCGTGATTCTACCAGTTTCCCTTGTGTTAAGAATGGTCCTTGTTATTATTGTTATTATTGTTATTATTGTGATTCTATTACTTGTTTAAATTATTATTCTTAGTTTTTTAATACCTATGTCAAATCTGTCATCTATTTTCTTAGTTCATTGTTCTCTTGAACAATTCCTTTGATTTACTGTTTTACACTCTGCAATTCATTGGATTCCTTGCTTGCATGATTTTTTAATTCCTTAATTGAATATTCCGAAGTTTCTTTATATTCATAGAATTTTTCTGTAATCTTTTCGAATTGCTATTTGAGTTCCAAAAAACAATTGTGAGTTTGATATTTAACCAACTTGATATCTTCCTTACAAATATTACATTGTTTTGTTGCAAACTATTAACAAGTTTGTTCCTTAAAAATAGATATCACATTTACATGTTATTTTTATTTCAATTAAGGTCCACTCCATCCACAAGGACATTTAACATTCTTAAATTAACATTCCTCAGCATGTCGAAGCACATCATTCATTAAAATCGGAGCCTTACAACCCTGAGCATCATTCTTGCAAGAAAATGCCAATTTTGAGAGTTCTTCTCTAATCAATCTATGAGGCTGCTTTACCTTAAACTCCCCTTTACAATCAGGACACCTAACCATATTGATACATATTTTTACTAATCTTTTTTACGCTACCAAAGTTTTGCACAATCTTCACAATAGAGTTACTCGCATGTTTAACATTCAACCGCACTTATGGCAACATATGTACAAATTTTACAACATAAATTTTGGCTTATTTCCTTGATGGGAATAAAATACTCTCTTATTTATTCCATCAATAATATATTTATTATTTAATAGAAACATGCAATTAAAGCTACTCAATAAATATCCTATAAATCTATTAATTTGAGTTTACTTTTATTTTCGTACATATTCTAACTAAAGAATCTCCCTCTTAAGAATAATATTTAAACATATAAACACGATTATTAATTATAACACAAACATATCAATCATTAACTACGAATTATAGAATAATTTTATTAAAATAAAAGTTTGATGAGTTTATCTGAAGAAGATTCTTTCAAAGATTTGCTCCTAAAATAATAAGAAATAATTGATTAGTAAGACCTGTAGATTCGTTTAAAAAACTAAGAAATATTCACTCTTTATTAATAGATATAGGATTGCCAGAACAGATTAGTTGATACTTAAGAGATGGTCTTGTAAATAGCTACTCAGGTGGATGACATCAAAGAATCAAGCATAGAAAAGTAGGAAAAGTATAGAAAGGAATTTCTATCATTTCCGAAAAGACAAAAAGGAAATAAAAAGTTCTTTAGCATTATTTGAATGTTTTTGTTCATTCTTAATTCTAGCTTTAAACTATATATATATAAAATAGCATCAATTATTAATTACATATCAAAATTGGATGATTTCTGATTGAGGTATAGAATATACGGTTTGTTGGTTCTCTATGATAATATCACTAATGATTTTATTAAAGAATGTACAAGAACAAGTGCATCACTATTTCTGCCATGCTTTCTGTTGGAAATACTATCTTTTATCGATCAAAAAAAAAGTAAGCATATGCTGATACAAAAAAAAGAACTTTATTGACCAAGAGGAGAACATATGACCTTATTGAATATCTAAAATTAATGGAAGGATTTTAATTATACTAAAGAATTCTCTTATGAGGTCTTCATCCAATTTAAAGCGATGAAAATAGCATAACATATATAAGAATAATGAGCTTCGTTATGTGAGAAAGTGGTGATTGATATTAAAAAATGAATCTCTTTTGTTTATGAAGTTGGTAGTATCAATCTGGGTTCTTTTATAATTCTGCAAAAAAACAAGAGAGAGGCACCTAAAGAACTCTTAAGAATAGTCATGAAATATAGATTAATCCTTCTTCTATTCTATTCCAAGAAAAACCAGAATGGGTTATATATTATAAATTAGTGTTAGCTACAAAAGAATATATGAGAAATGCACTTGAATGAAACCACAATGTCTCTATGAAATAACACATAATTATTTTTCTGAAGTTTCTATTAAAAAAAATCAAAAAACCTTGCCTAAACAAAAATTGATTCTAATAATATTGATAATATATTATCCTCATTTTTATTTTACTTTTTTATCTTTCTTTGCTCTCTTCACTGGGCCTTAGGTATTTTGTTACACAAATCTCAAGCCTATTAAATAGATAATGAGATAGACCTAAAAATAATATGACGCTGAATAAGGAAATTAAACCAACAAAGATAATAGCCTGAGTGGTACTTGATAACTTAGCCAAATCAACTCCAAATAGTTTATAGCCTTAAGGTTATTGTCTTCTTCTTGGATCCACTTCCTCATCATCATCATCGTCATAGCCTTATTCTTACTTATATTTTTTTTATTATTCTTGCATGTTTTTATCGAATTTCTAGGGTAATTAAAAAGAATACCTCTATCTCTTATGATAATATCTTTTCTTAATCTGTTAAAGTGAAATCATCTTCCAAACTCAGATCAGTCATCATGAAAACATCCTAGAAATCCTAATACTTAAATGTTTATTGTCTCAATTAATTAAAAAGATCAGCCAATTGTTAGTATTAGATTTTTTGGATGCACTACATCACTAATTAAGCTTATAATTTTTCATATGCATTTCTTTTGTCTTATTCATTAGCAATCGATTTGAACAACGACATCAATTCTTGACTTCTTTCCTAAAGGTGGTACTTTGTCAAAATAATGCACCCGTATTGTTATTGCTAATAATAATTTTGTTATTCTATCAATTAATGATTTATTCATACAATCCTATTATTAGAATTAAGCTTCTGACTCTTCTTCACTCAATTCATCTTCTTGGGCTCTGAATTATGCAATACTTAAGGCGACCAACAGTAATTTCCACATTAAAAATTAATATGTGATATTAAATTTTATACAGAATTCTCAAAAATAAGTTAATTATATTAAAGTCATCATAATAATTACTGCAATAATTCTTTGATATCTTCCTTGACTCTTTTACCAAATTAGGGACACTCCTCAATGTGTTTTTGAATCATGGAAAATAAGAATTTGCTATCTATTTTTTTCTTTTTTATTAATGTTTCAAGCTGTTACAGTAGTTTTCTAAGTGTTTATTAGTTATTAATACTCATTAAATTATCTTTAAATATCAAATGTTGATTGCCTACACTTCAATTTCTCTTAGATATTTTTTTATTCGAGATTATCTTATGATATAGATGAAATCTATCTTACTTGCTTCTCAGGCTTATCCAAACATTCCCTTATTAAGAACATCTAACTCTAATCAAATTATTATTATTTCTATCTTGAATTTTCTTAAATTAACACACTACTTTAATTCTTATTCTCATTTTCTCTCTTTAAAACCTAAGCACTTCTCAACTCTGACATAATATTTTTGAATTCATTTCTTTTAGTGGCTGATGAAGATTTGACACCCATTTTTGTATTTTGAAATTTGATCTCATCTCTTAGTTATCCACTATCTATTTCATGTTTTCCAATAAATATATCAGAATATTTAGTCGGTTCTAATGTCTTGCTATTTGAAAGGTATTTGTTATATTTGCTTAGTAATTCCTTCTCCTAATGGTTTAATAATTCCATTTTTGATTGTTATTTTTATTAAAAATTAATATATATTTTATCATTATAAAATAATCGAATTATCTACATATAATGAAAATGTTCATACGAGTGATCTATTGAAAGTTGTTAGTTTCTCTACCCCTTTGATTAATTCAACTTGTTGAATGGGTGTTAATTATTGAGTAAATTGATTGACATTCTCTTCCACCTCTTATTGCACCGATTTCAATTTTTTCATTTCTGTATTAAACTTTAATAATAATCTATGTATAATCGATGTGAATACTATTATGATGTCTTTCTATGATTTAATAGTTTGTCAATAATAGGGAGTACTTTATAAATTAAATTCTCATCGTCTAATTTAGTTTGTTTTTTGATGATTTCAACATAGTTGTTGAATTCATCATCATCTAAATGATATAAGAAACAATATTACAGTTTTTATGATCAGTATTGAAACTAATCAATTGCAACCCGTAGTTTCCTTTTAAGAAATTTCTTTGAATATTTTTAACTGCATATTTTAAATAGTCTCTCCTTTTGATTCCACATGTCCCATATCTCATCTATATTGTTAATAGTGACTAATACCAAATACGAATCTAAAATAAGCTAGGCTTAATCGGGTTGTTTGCATTGTATAATTTGATCGATAGCATTTGAATTAGCAATGATCATGCTATTTAGAATGGGATGGGATGAAAGTAATTAAGTCAAATACTCAAAGGATTATCTTGTTGTTTTTTTATATTCCTATATTTTTTAATCTAGATCGGAGACCTAATTGATAAGGGGGAAAGTGTTACTTTTTTCTCCAATAACTTCAAATACACCTTCTTTCTTAGACGGGAATTCTTGGCACTCTATCTTAAGCGCTTGTTCTTTGACTCAGCACTCAATAAATCATTTGCAGATCCTAAAAGTCCAGCCAAACCAAACTTCTGTTCTTTTGATACTTCTTCTGATGAACTCTCTCCTTGTAGATCTTCCTGCAATTCTTCATCCAAGAGTTTTTCACCTTCTACGCTGAGCAAAGAGGTAATCTTCTTAATGTATGCGTTCTTGACATTACCTTTAATTTCCTGTAATTGAGGGGCTTGTTCTTTTAGACTAGCATTAGATTGAATTCTCTGAAGTGTTGACTTTGTTTTCTTGATCTTCTTGCTCTCCTGAGTGATTTATTAATTCATAAAGGGATTCTGGAGAACACTCTAAGTGAACAGACTTTGCAAATTCAACATCCTCTGCTATTCATGCAATTGTTAGAGCAGACGAGCATTTTGAGCCAGCAATTAATCCTAAGTGAGAGCTTGCTGAAGGAAGGGAATGGTTGATTAATTATTTAAGGTTTGTATTAATTAATCTAATTCTTCGGCTGGTTATTACATATATATATATTTATTATTTATCATAGACAGCCTCATTATATTCTTTGATTCTCTGTCATTATTAATAAATAATATTGCATTTAATAGCAAAATAGTATGAACTATTAATTTTGTAGCTTTTCTATTGTGATTTTGCATCAATTATACAGAGTTTGAGAATTAATTTAAATTAGAAATGAGTTATGAGTTTGAGATGACTGGTAAATCTCCAGCGTGCATGGCAGATGAGTGTTAAATAGTAAATATTGTAAATAAAATTGGAATAATAGAATGAAATGAGTTATGATTCACTTGAAACAAAAGCAGAAACTAAACACAATAAAAGATCAAAGTTTTTTGTAGCGAGTGTATGTAAGGATAGAGTACAAAAGGGAGATGACAAGCACTACAACTATGATTATCAAGTAAGACGTGGGTACAAAGTCGAACTGTGCCATCAATCTAACTGCTGCCTCATTAAAAAATTAGATTACTAAAACTGTAGTTTGTATTACTAGTCAAGTTGTATTGAGTATTGATATACAAACGCTCATAAATTGTGAACTCTTCGATCTGCTTTCCATCTAAATACAGTTACACATCAAGCAGCAGTATATCAGACTTCGAAAACATTTGTATACTTATTGGGGGATTCCAGGTTTACTCCATCTTAATTATTCCTCCTCTATCAGAGACGTCTATTTCGATAAAATCTGCCTATAATATAATGGATGGAATCATTAGGGCCAAAAAGAAGAATGCTATGAGCTATTATGCTATCAATATACACAGTAATATATGCAATATTATTCGTCTCCGAAATATGTAGAAGTACTCCTATAAACTCTCTACAAATGGATCTTTTCTCATTTGCTCCTTCTCATGTAGGAAGTACTTTTATTTAATTGGTTGAAATTCACCTCCTATTTACCCTTGGTGTTCTTTCATTAATTATTATAATTTAATTATATAAATGTGTCCAACCACTGAATAACAATTGGTTATAACTCTCAAAGGCAATTTAAGTTCCATCCATCCTCCGAAGAACCATCAATAATATTGATCTATTTTCAAGCATCATTAATGATTCAATAATTTGGAATAAAAAAACAACTAGAGGACAAATGATTAAAATTAAACGTACATATTTCATGAATTGAATAAAAAATAAACCAAATGGATTCAAATTAAATGATGAAGAAATATAGAGTGTCAACACTCTTGGATGCTTAGACCAAAAAACTGCAACCCTATAAAAATATAATAATCCAAAAGATGATAGCAGAGTTCAAAAGTAAAGACTTTGATGTTAAAGCAATACCAATTTAAAGGGAGTATTTAATAATAATTTTAGAATACATATGTGTTTTATATTTGCACAGTGAAAACTTTTCAATTTCAATGATAAAATTGAAAATGTCAAAATTGAACTGATGTTTTTTTCTTTATCTTTTTGTTAACCTAATTGCTTTATTAATTATTTTTCTATTTCTTTTATGGTTATCTTTTGTTTTCACATTCTGTACACTAACAATGTGAAGTGCACTTTTTTCCCCTTATAAAACATTCACAATAACCTTTTACACATTTTGTTTTTTTGCACTTACATCCCCACACTTATTTAGTATCAAAAGAATCCAAATCATGATGAGATGCTCTCTATTCTTTCATCTTAATTTGTTCGACTGCCTTCAACACATCCTCTTCGTGTTACCCATCATTATAACAGTCATTGCACTTACATTCGCTCATGCATTGACGTCTATTATGGAAACATGAACAATATAATTATAAACAATGAGTCTTTGTACAATGACAAGGTTTCATTTCATCCTCTTCCACAGGAGAATTATCCACATTGTAATTTGCTTTATTTACTTTTCTTCTTGTTTGAATCTATTGTACATTTTATACTTCCTAGATGTCCACCTACTTTATTTCCTAGATCTCCAACTACTTTATTTCTTATGCGTCTTATCTAATTTGATTTTCTTATTTCTATTATGGCGAATATTTAGTGGGACTCAGAGCTTCTAATGACATTTGCTTTTTGTAATAACCTTGATTTTCATCGAGGGACATTTACGAACTATTCAAATCATGCTAATCAATACACAAATAGGGTTAATCTAGGCACAGGAACGTCTCCTATCAATTCAGACGATGACAATTAACTCTATGTTTGTGCTTGCAAAAATTCTTATTTCTTGTCCTCCCGTTATTCATTATCCTTGGGTACAAATAAATCCTCATCTTTTGACGAACCATTAGACGATGAAATAAACATACCATTTCGACTATCTTTATTAATCATTCTTAAATTTAAATAAAAATAATATTTTTTACTTTTTATAGAACATCCTAAAATATATTCAAATCTCAACTCTACTCAAAAAAGCCTTTATTTTTACATCCCTAAATTCTATTTATTTTTATTTTAAATCACTCTTCAATTAACACACACTTTTTCTGAAATTAACTTCTCATTTCAATTAATAATCTTATTATGTATCTTATTATATTCGATAATTTAATTAAAACTTTAGATATGGAAATTGAATTTTATAGAAAACCTAAAAAAATATTATTAATTAAGACATATGCAATAAGTGGAAACTCAATATTGCTATTATAGTAATTTCAATTTATTCGAGAGCACTTCTCAATTGTTGAAGAAAGACAAGTTCGTTAAATCGTTGTTGCAAACCTTAGGAGAGGAGTGGCGAATATATGCTGGACGAGCAATCACTATAGAATTGGATGGATAAATAAATCATTTGGCATGGTAATTTTGTTTCGAAAATTTACTCTTCGCCTGGTTGGAGAACGAAGACTCACAATATGAAGAATTTTACGATTTATCAATTCAACGCATAAGTCCTTATAATATTGGTATTAAACAAATAAATTTAAATTAGATGCTGTTTATTTTAGGCCTGTGTTCGATGGTTTCTTTTATTCTGCTCAATAATTGTGGCAAAAGATGAGATTGAGTAGACCACCTTCCCAAGAATCTTTCAAGTCCCTAGATTAAATAAAGTAGGAGGATATCAAATCAATGTCCAATATTCTGAAACCATTGGTAATCGTAAGCGAAAGGATTATCAATTATTTCCGAAAGGAAGAACAAGCTTAGCCTTAAACAATCGAGTGTCCACAATACCAATAGTCGAGTTGGAAACAAATCTCCAAATTAACAGAAGATTCCCTGCCACTTGATTTGGTGGAGAATGCATACATTTATGTTAGTCAATTCATCCAGAAAACCTACAAGAATTGCCAAGTAGCTAAATCCTTCATTGTTAATATCATTGAGTTAAATCATGATGTATTGAGCAAATTCCAGATTTCAAATTAGTAAATTAAAATCAGAATTATGTAACCATCTTGTTTAATGTACGATAATTTGTTATCAATTTGGACATTGGCAAATTCAGGGGTTTAACCTTAATATTTCGATTTAATTGGCAGGGCAAAATCCTTATTGGGAAATAATTGGAAAGATAATTATTAATAGCCTGTTGAAGTATTTTTTTAGTTGATGACCAAATTGTATGGAAACATTATTCTAAATCCATAAATAAAATCAGAAGACTAGTTAAACCATTTATTGAAAAATATGAGAATTTAAATGGCATAATTGTGGGAATAAGAAATAGTTAATTCAACATTAGAAAAATAATGATTAATATATTATTGTGTATAACATGTGAAATATTAAATTTAATTGACAAATGATTGATCCTCAATTGATGGAAAAGTGGAAAACAGAGCTTTTCTAAGATCAAGCACTCAACAAACTCTTTGATTAGCACTTAACATTGGAGGAGTTTGTCCTATTAATCCTCAAGAATTGTATTATCATATTCCATTAAAATAGATAACATGGTTTAATTGGGAGACATATTTTAAAAGTTGACTTCGATTAATCAATCTATTTCTATGTAGTTGGATCACTACATTAAAAACAATTATGAATTGCTGATTGAAGATCTTAAGGATGTAATATAGAAAAATATTCCTAGAAATCTTAACAATGTGACAATGATGTCATTATTGAAGCCTTATAAAAGATTAAATTTATATAACAAAGACTTCAGGACAATTATGTGACTAAATACAATAAAATTATAAAACTATTGCCAATCAAATAAAATAGTGAATTAGCTTTGCAAAAGTGTAAACAACTTCAAAAATTCAGTGTGCAATTAAAATTACTGAGATCCTTAGCTCAATAGTAAAATAACAGTATCAACATAACAGATGCACAGAGAGTGTCTAATGCTTTATTTGAAATAGATAGATTGCCTATTAAACAATTTCAATTTTATAAGAACAACCAGACCTATATTAAATAGGTTGAAGAAACCTTATAGATTAAAGTAACTAGAAAGTTTGAAGATTCACTCTCAGCAAAGAGTGTGCCAGATTTAACATAATGTTTGGGAATATTTTATAGTCTTGGTAGATTATCTGAAATACTTGAACTGAAATGTAATTAAGTATTAAAATAAATAAGTGAACAATATAAGATATTATTCTCAAATTCTAAATCCTTTTTACCTGACTATAGAAATCAAATAAAAAATGAATTAAATTAGATGATTCTAATTTGGTTAATCTATCAAGCTATGAATTAAAGTAATATAATATCTCTATTTCAGCTGATCAATATCACTTAATCAATTACTAAGAAGAACTCAAAGATTAATTCCCGCACTTATTTTTGATGGTATGGAAAAAGTACACAGATGTCATTTAACAGTCAATCTAAATTATAATCGATAACAAGTAGAAGTATGAGTCTACTTACAACAATTTGGTCCATTTTTATCCCATCATCAAAGATATCTATTATGACTAACTAATTATGTTTAGCGAACAAATAGTAAGCACTTATATCAATCTATTTAGCTTATCTTTCCATCATCAATACTATTAAGTCTTAATTAAAATGAAATCTAGGGACAATTGATGTCTTCCTTGAATGTGTTGAGACCTTTGCATTAAATGCAATTCATACTGTTGTTGAAGGAACAAATCACTAATCTTGCTAATGATGTATACGTTTAGGAGAAAGGACAACCCTATGTTGAGAAAGTAAATTTATCATTTTATATTCAGGCTTTGAATGCTTTGACTTCATTCATTGATTTTGTTAAATTAGAATTTGAATAAATTAAATATGATGGCCAATCATTTAAATTTATGACTCAAAAGTTACTTCATGAATACAACTCTTTGATTGAATCCTTCCAAGGAATGACTTATACCAATGAATGTTTAGCTGTCTTATCTGTTTCAATGCCATACTTCTGGAAATAACTTTTAGATCATCCCTTAAATCATGAACTTGAAATGTCAGAATTATTGGTTAAAAAAGAAGGACTTAAGTAAATAGATTCAAATTTATAAATCTTATTTGATTAATATTTACAAAGACGCAAAATTACATAAGATTTGATTAATGCCTTATTAAAAAATTGATTTTAATGTATAATGCAAATTTAATAAATATTATTAAAGATGTTAAGGACTATCCAATCTTTCTCCTTAGATAACGATGTCAAACCAACCTTTTTACCCAAAAAAAAGTCACATTATTATCTTAAATCTCTAATAAAAAATAGAAATTTGAGACCAAAAAGTCAAGAGGCAGACGATTCTAATTAATAGATAATCAATGAAAAGATAGGCCCATCGAGAAGAAAAAGTTGTTATTGCAATCTCTGTGGTTTCACTAGTAAAAAGCAATAAAGATTCATGGATCTTAAGCTAATCAAAAAACCAACAATGATCAAAAAACCACCTATTCATAGTGACAGAAGGAGTACATTTAATCTACAAAGTGCAAGTAAGAAATACTAATTTATACTCAGATAGAAGTGTTTTTTATAGAAGGAACACACAAAAAAAGGAGGAAAAGGCAGATCTTCCAAAATCACCTGCCTATGATCTCGGAGAATCAAAAAACACTGATTGGTATGTTCGCCAAATTATTAAAAGAAATTCAAGAATTAATGTCCAAAAATTCGTTGATAATTCATTTTCAAAGAACTCGTAATAAAAATCATAATCCAACAAAATAAATATCGATGATTTGATAAATGTAAAAAGTCAATAAACTATACATCTTCCTTATAGTACAAGTATTCTATCTTGATAATGTTATAAGATAGTCCTAGTGTTAGAATTCGAACTATTGGGGCCTTTGACTAAGATAACACAACCACATCTCCAAAATGTAAAGACTTTCCTAAGTTTTCTCCCTATTTAAACTTTCGCTAACTCAATACAAATCTCCTTGCTCCAATCAAATACAAATCTAATATATCAATGTCAAGAAAAGCCAAAAAAAATATATTTTCATATTCCAAAAATTGAATAGTTAATTTGTAACTTAATTATTTGATTTCTTTTATAATTATTTAATTGTATCATTAAAGATTCAATATCTAAATGTAATGAAGGCTCAAATCTATTAAAATGTATCTTAAATATTAGTAGAAAATAGTTTTGATTGTTGTAATTTGAATAAAAGATTTCTTCATTTTTTAAATTTAAATTATATTACATATAAATTAATGATTTTATCTGTTTTTTTATGATATTGCTTTGAATAATTTAGTGCTATTAATGAGAACTTGATAATTAAATAAGTGATTGATTTATCAAATTATTATTTTAAATAATATAAAGAAACAAAAATTGGATTAATTAAACGACAATTTTAATTATCATTAAATCTATAGATTACTATTTGTTTAATATATTCTTTATTAATTTTTAATTATAATTATATGATATTATGTGAACATTAAATAATCATGATCAGATTTTTTCAACAATAATTTAATCTAACATATCTTTGTGTGTATCTATGGTGTAAAATTCCTCAATTTTTTTATCTGGCATAATCTAAGAATATGTTTTAGCCTAAAATGTAGATACTATTTATAAATTTATTAATTACTTTTTTCTTAAATGTTTCTTATTCTTGATGAAAGCATACATTAATAATTGGACAAAGTTTAAAGATGCATTAATTTATATTATAAAGCTTCATCTACATCCATGTTTGGTTATTTTTCATAATATTTGATCATTTTATCTACAGTATTAGTCAATAGTTCTAGTTGTTCGTGTTATTATAAAATTAATTGTTCTTGATATTTTTGAGGAACAGAAAACTATTAATTAATTCGAACAGTTCCAGATAATTAATCGTATGATTCCTTCATTGTTTGTTAGGCTTTTTAATAATCATTGCATTGAGCCTCTTCTTTCTTTAACACTTCCAATCCATCCTCTGTTATTTTTTATACCAATCCAACAGTAGAGATGTATTCATTTAAATTTTTAGACAAATCCTTTTAACCAGCTAAAATTTATTCAGAAGTGTCAAACACAGATTTTGTGTCCATTTGAAAGACAATCTGTGAAATTGGCTAGATCATTTATTGCCATTATTAATTTTAGGCTGGTTGATTGGCAAAGCTTTTTTCTGTTTCTGTGATCTTTTGAGTCACTAAATTATATTTATCTTTAAAAGCATTTGAATCATTAATAAAAGTTTGAATCTAATTTTGCTGCTGATATTATAGTCCATTCTACATCAAACCTGGTTGTTGTGGCTAAGGGTTTGTAGAAAATAAATTAGTTTATCCAAAACCAGTCTATGTATTGCCAAATAAATTTGGAGCTGCTGGTTATGGCTACCCAAAGATGCCCTGATTTTAAGTTGGTTATCCCAATATTGGATTTTATCCAAATCCACCTATTGTATAAGATGTCAAAAAATACCCATCATTGGTTGAGTTTAATTATTTGGTTATCCAAATAGCATAGTATTTTGTTGTGTTGGTTATGGGTTGCCGAAAATATTACTTGGTTATTGCTATGCCGGTGCAGCAGAGAATAACATATTATTTTGAGGGGGTTTGCTACCGAATAAATTTTATGGTGCCGGATTATTAGCCATTATAATAATTACTTAATTATTAGTTTAAAAATTTGAAAATTCTAATAGTAAAAAATATGAATTAGCACTCAATTTTAGGGATAGTTAAGGAATTATGAAAATTGAGGAATGTATTATTGAGGATAGTGACTGCCATAAGATAAATAAAGGATTGTATTTTAAATTCTTTCCTAATCAGTCGAATTAAGTGGTATCACTTTAAATGATAATGATGTAAGCCCATTCGTATCAAATGAACCACTGCAGCTAGAGAATGTATCACCTAGATAATTTTATTTAAATTACCAAAATTTTCAATATAAAATTGATTTCCCAAACACGATGCTTTAAAATGCGCCGATTAACCATTATATGTGGCAAATTATAATGAGGTGATATATCTTCCATCAAAAGTACCACTCACTTGCTATAGATCTAGATATGCAATATATTTACAATCATCTTTTTCTATAATGAACTCTTCTTCCTATACATAGAAATAAAACTTGCTAACAGCATTGCAACAAAAATTATGAAATTTGTACATTTATCTTTTATCATAAAATAAAGCTATTGCAACAATATTTTGTTTATTGTATTAAATTTTCACTTTACTTATTTTATCTATCATTCCATCATCAAAATCTTCTCCTTAGGATTATCCCACTGATAGAAATCTGAGTTCCATTTTTTAAATGAAATTAATTTAATTATATATAAATTTTCAAGAGTCAATTGATTTATTCCTGTTTGATTTCTTATTAAATTGATTAAATGCTATGCTTAGCTTCATTCAGTTTATTCTATAATAATGATTGATCAAGATCACTTAACTTTTACTCGATAGATGCCCATTACGGTAAATTAAAGTAAATAAGATCAGATGTGATCCATTGACGCTTCAAATCATCATCCTTACTCTGTAAGCATTACTGCAATAAGGCTTTTTATGATGAAGGTGATTTCCCTTTTTTTGGACTACTCTTAATAATAGATTTTGATGTGTTTAACTTCGATTGCACTTTCTTCTTCTTCTTTGGTTATTACTCTTCATCACTTGTATTCTACACTTCTAATCTTGCCTTATATTTATGTTTGTCACAAAAAAATTTAAACTAGTTCTCGATCAACTTGCCTTATCATAAGATTCATATTTTACCTGTTTGGGAACTCTTCATTAGACAGGTAAAATGAAATGATTAAGGACATACTGCACAACATATAGTGGCCCCAGATCTACTACACAGGAAGCATTTCTAAAATGTATAATATATTTACAGTTTTCTTGGATTTCTCCACTTCATCATCAATGTTCTTAGGATCACATTACTCTAAATTACTAAAAAAGACTAAGTTCTAACTCCACAATCCACACATTTCATGTAATTGATATTTTTCATTTTAATTACTATTAGAAGGTATTAATAAAAGTGGTCCTAAATTTTGATCATTTGCTTCCAAACTACAAAATACACAATTTCCTTCATTTTATTTTGGATATATTAATTTCTAATATTGGAATTTTTACAATCTCCCAAATGTTATTGTCGATTCCTTTATCTCCTATCTCTATTTCAAAATGGGTTTAATTGTTTCCGTCTACTGTTCCAATAAATTACCATTTTAATTTTAAACTTAAGTTGAAACCTTTTATTAATAGTTTTCTTTTTATGTGTTTTAATTTTATTAAGTCTAAAATTAAGTCTAGTTTTAGGTTTGTTATAGTTGCAATTAAGATTGTGTTTAGCTTTATCCCAAAGTAAGTTAATTTTGGATGAAAGAGTTTTGAACTGACGAACCTGTATTTTTTGTTTATTTGAATAATGGATAAAATTTTTGTTCTTGTTGAATTGGCTTTGGAGGGGCTTTTAAATCAATGTGTTTGTTGATTTATTCTTATTATTTTAGTTCTTCAATAACGTAAGTTTAAGGATTAGAGGGAATCAACTCTTTCAGATCCCTTAATTATTTATCTACATCCTTATGAAACTTATTAAAATATTCCAAAATCTTCAGTTAATTATATGATTATTTATCTAATTGTTTCATGCTATTAGAGTCTTCAGTGATGTTATTCAAATGAAATCTTCGCTCCATTTTTTCTTATTATTTCCTTTTCAAATAATTTGTGAATTTCTGAAGTGTTGCTTTTGTTAGAGCCAATAATTGATCAGCATCTGAAATAGCCTATTCGAGCTCTTCAGCCGCCTATTCTAAGTATAAATTCATTAAATTATATATATTAATTTTATCAAAAAATAAACATGACTTTGAATTGAACTAATTAATTTTTAATGTTGTGTTATTTTTTTATGTTTTTTTGTTTTTTTCAAATCAACCAATAAAATTCAATAATTTCCCTTCCACTTCCTCAATTTACTTGTTTCTGATTCTCCAAACTCGGATTTAAGGTATCAATTCATTTACTAAACCAACACCCTATTCTTTTTTAAAACTTCATAATTTAGTGCAGTTACTTGTGAAACTGTACAAATTTATAAAAATATAAAATATATGTTCTGAATCTACAATCTCAAAAGAAATAAGTCATCTATCGATCCTATCAAAAAATAAACTTTTGAAATATTCTACGATTGCATCTTTTTTAAATGTAACTTAATGCTTTTGCTATTAAATAATTTAACGAATTAAAAATAATTTTTTAAGTAATAATAGATATTTACACTAATATTATCATCAAAGGACTTCATATCATTTTAAATTCTTGAGTATCGACACTTGGCTGAAATTAAATAATAAATTCTTTTGAAGATACTAATCTACTTGAAAGAGTGGAGATGATTTTGTATTTTAAAATTCTATTTTCTGATATTTAGGTATATCTGCATTTTTTGGGCTTGGCCTTTTTTATTTTGATGTTTCCTTTGCGTATATGGAATATGATGGTCTTAGCAGTCTCGTACTTGATACTCAATCTCTTGGCAGCCTTCGATATTGTTAATTCAGTATAATACATCTTTGATTTTAAAACCTTCCTTGAATACAAGCTATGCGAGCTATTCCTTGGAATTAGATGGCACTTTGACATAAGTTCTTTTATATTCCTAGAAGGCTCCTGGGACTAAATTATTTCGAGGCCTAAGCTCCTTCTTTTCCTATAACTTTTCTATTTCTGAGCTACCATTATTTGAGAACTCATTTTGATTAGGACATATAAAAATATTCATTATAAATAATAATTTTGATCCTATCTACATTTATTGAATATAAAGAGTCATTTTAATGCGTCATAATTAATGAGATAAAAGTAAATTATATAAAAAATATGTAAGGAATTACACAATATTAATAATCTATAACATTCCAATACATAATTAAATTCTAAATTTATATACTGAGCTAATTAAAAGAAATTTTATCCATTTAGAGTAAAATACAAGTTGCTGTACAAATAATCACCTAATTCAGGAACACTCTAATATTAATTATTAAAAACATTCAAAATGATATTGTTCGTGGTCCGTTTAAGATTTGTGAGAGAATTATGACAATTATTTGGGCAGCGATAAAAAAATAAATTTTTAAATTCATAAAAAATTAAAATAATTCTGCCTATGTACCTAAAATAATACATCTAAATATAAGTGCCTGCAACGTATAAAAAATAAAGGGATTCCTATTCAATTCATAATGACAAAGTAAATATATATTGTTAAATGCTGATATTTGTGTTTAATTTGTTAAAAGGCATATTATTATTGCAATGGTTTATTAGAATAAGAGGCTTTTAAAAACTTATATTTCTATTTTTAATGAGGAGAATATATTTCAAAATTTTTGTAATTTATTATATTAATTAATTAATTTAAAAACAGTTTTATTAAGTGATATAGATTTAATGTGAATACTTGGTATTTGTAAATTTAATGATTTGATAATTTTAAAATATAATCATTTTTCTTTGAATTAATTTATTATTTTGAAAGCGATTAGTCGTCAGTTTAGAAGGGGAGTTCAGATTGAGGAGAGAGGATGGAATCAAGATCGAATAATAAGGTGGACAAGTCGATAACGAAAGTTACATAATTGAGAATAGAAATATAAAATTAATAATAATATAAATCAATTTAGTTTAAAGAATCAAATAATTATGGACATGGATTTGCTCAGTTTTACGTGTATTAGACCTCATACTTTTTTTTCTAAAACTTATTATTTGAAAGTGATGGATGATGAAGTTTTGATATCAGCTGTAACCTTATGATTCTAATATTCAGTTTAGCAATTATTAGAACCCAAAATACCGCATAGAACTTAAATTAACAACATAAATTTTATGGAAAATGGGAAAGCAATAATTAAAAGCATTCGGAATAGTTTACCAGAATAAAATTAAATATTTTGAAGCATCGTAAATGCATCTTGAATCTTTGAAAAATGCTCTTGGTGGTAGGGTGATTTACAGAAACATGGCATCATTTTATGAACCAGTTAAATTGATAGGAGAGGGATTGTCAGCCAAAGTAAAATAATTTATTAAATTAGGTATTTTAAAGCATTGATAAGAAAAGTAAAAATGCAGTAGCGGTAAAAATGATAAAACAGGAGTTTGGAAGAGAGGACTAAGCATTGGTAAATAATTGAATTTAATTTCCATTTAAGGACATAGTCAAAACGGAAGTGTCAATCTTAAAGTAGTTAAACCATTAGAACATAATAAAGGTACTCGAAGTCTATGAGAACGATTAGACATTTTGGATAGTCCAAGAATTCGTAGCAGGGACTCCATTGAGTGAGACCCTGAAACAAAAGCTGCCCAGCGAATAGATTAAGACCATAATGATTGTACTCTCACATAATATACTGCTAGGGTCTCTTAAATACAATAAGTTATTTACAATCTCAAAAGATAGTCCATAGAGACATAAAGCCAGAGAATATCATAATATAGAAAGACAATTCTATAAAAGTGATAGATTTTGGATTCGCAGCAAATCTGAAGTTCGGATCAGTCAGCAGTGTCTGTGGAACTCCAGGATATTATGCTCCTGAGGTATTGAGACAAAAAGAATCCAGCTACAATTCAGACATGTTTAGTGTCGGAGTTGTTCTATTTAATTTGTAAGGAATTCCTAAAAAACTATTAGAATAACAAACCAACCGATGCTTAAATCTAAGATGTACAATGCATAACAATATGTACCAGATGAAGAGGCAGCGGATCTTCTCAAGAGAATGTTGGAAGTGGATCCGACCAAAAGAATTACGGCTACACAAGCCTTGGAACATCCTTATTTTAAGGATAAAATGGAGAAAACTAGTTACGAGAAGTAGGATAGTCACTATCTTCGGAAAATAAAATTATATAATTATAATAGTAGTTAAATAATCAATAATATCAGCAGAAGAAAAGCAATAAAAGTCTGGATGCTAAAACTACGAATGTTATTGATTAATGAATTTATAAATTATCATTTTCTACTATTTCTTTGCAGTATTTTATTGTCACTTAATAATTTTCAGTTTAAATAAATTCTCTTTAATTTATTTATTGAACTTATGGATATTCTTATTTATTCCTCATCTCTTCACAATGCTTAACAATCTAATCAATCCATAAGAATCTAAACAATAGGAACTGACTAAAGATCGAATAGTTTACATTTCAAAAATATCAATGTTATCCTCAAAGAATTGAATAAAACTCACACCAGAAGGAAAAGCTGCTATTGCACCGAATGTGGATGCATGGGAAGGTTCTAATTCGAGAATATGAACACAAGATAGTTCTTTGAAAACTAGAAAAGCAATTAGATTGTCAATACAAAAAGCGCCTTAACACTAACGCTACCAAGTATATAGTTACTCCTATATCTAAAGAATAAGAGATCTTCTTTTAAAGAAAGAGAACAGTTAGAAAAACAGATAAAAAAACAACGATTATCGATAGCAGCACTACTGGTGATAAAATAGATGAGTAGAAGACATAATATTTCAATTTCAACACGCAGTCGAGATCTTCTCTCCTCTCTAATATTCTTGGAAAAAGAGACTTATAGATTAAACAAATTAATAAAATCAGTAGACCATAAGCTTAATACGATTGGAGCAAAAAATGAGATGTCTTATTCCAATCACGTAGAAACATATTCCGCTGCCCTTCCCAGTTTAATGTTGTTGCAGTCGAATCAAAACTGAAAATCAAAGTTATCACCATCAACCTTTGAGTCCATCCAATAGAACGAGTAGCAAATCTAATTATAAGAATTCGCCTTATTACTATACTTATCGATAATTATTAACCCCAAAAGTTAAATATAGAAACGAGCAGAAAAAGATGAAATCAGCTATTCAATAATGATTAAATTTTGATCAAATTTTTATTATATTTTATTTAAATTAGATTCTTTTAAATTCAGACAAGATATTCAAGTATCATAATTAATTTTTAAGAATCCATTAATATTTATAATTGGAATCTTGCAATTAATATACTTGATCAATCCATAATCTGGAATCAAAATAAACACAAAAATATATATAGTAAATGTATCAACAACAGGAGTAATATTTGTTATCAAAAATATTGCACTATTCTTTGATTTGATCCTTTGATGGTGGTATCCAATGAGATTGAAGGCCTTTATGAAAAAATGTGATTTTGATATTCTCTATGAATCCAAAATTATAAGGATGATAATATCTAGGATAAAAATTTAGGTATGAAATCTTATCCCTCTTTGTATGTTCCCAAGTAGTTTTACCAGTCAATATCAACATGGTGTGATATAAAAGCAAAGCCCCTGTGAAAATTCCAAATCCGAAGGATGTTGCTGCGGTTAACAATATAATAAAGTATTAATATTAGTATTCGTCGTGTCCGAATTCTTCATCATAAGTCGAATAGTAAGGAAATTGCTTCTTAAACTAAAACATTCCATCAAAACAGAGCAAACATTGAAAGAACAAGAACAACCAATACATTCGATGATTCAATTCACCAACACATCCCCCAATCCAAAAACAATGATGGTCATATTTAGGTATGCATTTCTAGCACTTAGAACAATGTTTTGTTCTGTAAGATTGAATGATTTTACACTCCTAACATTCATTTCTATCAGGTGTTTAAGATTCAAATTATTCATAATCTCCCCTCAAACCAGAAAATGATAATTAAGATAATTCGTGATCTTCCTATTCTACCACAGGCTCTCCTGCTGAATCACTGCACTGAAGGTAAAAATATCCAGCCGCAATTGTCTCTATCAATAAACGAATTCCAATTGGTATTGTCAATTCATTTTCAAATATTGTGAGTGTAAGCATCCCAATCACCTCTGCGGAGAACAGAAACCTTTTGCAAGCATTCCCTAAATTATACACTTATGATGGCACTGCCATATATTTAATTATTTAATAATGGCATAAGAACCCAATCCATTTAGTAATAGTATACAAATATCATCAAGAACATGTGACCTTCATGGACACTAACTGTGCAGCCAAAGCAGCAATGGTCACTGTAGCTGGAGGTGCAATGGGTTTTTTGATGGCTTTGTTCATGAATGCTGTAGAAATGAGAGACATGGATTATGGTAGAACCAAGTAATCAACTCGATATGTTTTGAGAGTAATATCATCATTCAATACTAGAGAGATATAAACAAAATGTTTGGAATGGCAAAAGGATTTGCTATTTTTGGTGCTTTTTATTCAATATTTGAATGTCAATTAGAAAAATTAAGAATTCGAGATGATGCAACTAATTCATTTCTCTCTTGCATGTTTTCATCTATGGTACTAGCTGCTGAATCAGTTGGATGGAAGGGTTTAATGATGTCAGGATTAGGTGGAGGTATGTTTGGAGGGGTTATGTATTATGTTTAGATTAAGTTTATGAATCACTGATATATTTTATTATTAAAATGAAAAAATAATTTCAATTCTAAAAGAAAAATAAAGAATGGCAATAGGAATTTTAGGATGTAGATGATTAAGCAGTACTAGAGAAAATTGAGTTGCCTCCTTCTGAAGATGAGGAATAGCCAGTTTAATAAGAATAATAACAAATTCAGTAAAAGAGTTAGGAAGATGGAGATGAGCTTGAAATCGTGGAAGAAAAGGAGGAGGTTGTTGAATAATCAAATCAGAAATAAAAAAAAATCGAATGGCTGGACTCCGATATTGAAGGAGTAGATGAAATAGATGATGAGGAAGAAATGATAGAAGATGCTGATGAAGTTGATCATGATCAGAAAACTATTTTTGTTTAAGGACTTCCCTTAAAAATAAGCGATAAAGAGATCGTTGATTTCTTTTCAGAATACGGAACAATTGTATCGATAGAAATTCCTCGTAATGAAGGATCTTAATTTACTAAGAGAAGAGCATTCGTTGAATATCATACGGTCAGTGAAGCGTAGAGTGTGGCCATGTTAGATCTAGAATTGAAGGGATGCCAGCTTAAAATTAGAATTGGGATTTAACAGAATGAGTTAAATAATAATAATAAATAAAATAATAGGAGTAGAAGTAGAAGTTAATCAAAATGAAATAAACCGAATGATTAATTTATACAATTTATATATTTCTTTTAATTAATAGTGTATCATATAAATTTTAATTAAATATGGATTTCTTGGGAATCAAAAACAATAAGTTCGTTAAGAATAAAGAACTTAATAAAGAATATGAGGAAATGCTCATGGTGGAAGATCACATTTTGCAATCGGATAATGAAACCAATATAATTGTTCCAGAATCTCCAGATTTTAAATTCATATAAACTATAAAAAGGAGGAGGATTAGATGACGACTAGGAGAACTTGTTTGAGTTCATTTTTATATTATCTTGTACTAACAATCTTTTAAATATATAAAATTTGTATTTTTTCATTCAGACAAGGCCAAACTCGTCGTTTTGTAATTTGATGAAATAACTGCAGATGAGCCAAGTTTGCTACATGTGTTTATACGATATAAATATATTTAAGAGTCCATTATATTAGTTTAAATTGAGTCTATTTGAAATTCCATGTTTTCAGACACCCCTCTGTGGGAATTATCAAAAATTATAAGTTGAATATTCAAAAATAAGTAGTTATTAAAATATAAGAATATAATCAGTTGAATATAAAAATATCATTTATTATTATAGAGATTAGTTTTCGCATAACTTTATAATATTATTTATTGATCATCTCATAAATATTAGTGGTTTTCTCTTAAAACACTCTTATAGAATTTGTCAAAGTTTTATCCGTCCTTTGTTTTTGAAAAAGCATAATCCTCCAAAAGCATCATCAGTAAACTCTCCTATCTCATATTACATTTGCAAATTTGAGGATGCATGGGAGGTGGTTTAATCAACCAATCAGGCGACTCAATTTCCATGTTGAAAAGACAAGATTCTAAATAATCTAAAAATAATTCTTCGCCGTCTCTAATCTCAGTGACGCTTATGAATCCGAGGCCTCTAATGTGATTTTTGTAATGTTGATCAAGGGAAGACTTTGTTTATAAAAAATCTTGAGTGGTTGAAAAATATTGAGTCGGCCAAAATTTCATTAACTCTTCAGGAAAGAATGTTTGAGGAACAAATATATCAATCAAACTTACATTAGTTGATTTATTCCTTGGAGTATGGTTGATTTTATGACCTAGAGCATAAGGATTTATGTCCTCTCCTTTTACTAATTCATAACCCCCTTTTGATTTATTTCTATAAGATCTGCTAGATCGATCAGCTAATTCTTTTATATCTGATATTTTTTATTCGTATTCATCAAAACCATAGCCTGGCACGTAAGGATAGTAGATTCTGGATGTAAAATCAAAGATTGGCCCATCAAATCTGAAGAAATGCATGTCTGGAGGGGTCTTCTCACTATATGATTTATAGTTGTCATAGATCAAGCCTGGTACGAAGCCTAATAGGGTGCCTGCAGGAACACTTAAAATAAAATAAGTAACAGCCTTTTATTTGCTGGTAATGTCTCCAAGAAGACTCCTTCCCCTGCATCGGAATGATCAATAGTGCTCTCTCTTAGATTGAGTTTGAATCCCAAATTTTGAGTCACTCTTTGAGTCTTTGGCTTGTCCCAAATGGTCACACTGTCGGATGTGTGTAATTTCAAAGACAGATCTTAAACGGGAAACATATTTGGATCTAAGAGTGCTGTGATGCGATTGACTGCTTCTATTTGTGGATACTGAATCAAGCAATCAGAACGGGTGGATCTGTGAAGATTGGCGAGTAAGGTAAAGATTTGTGGTAATAAAGACATTTTACTAATATCCCAATGTTCGATTGGATCCAATTGATGGAGAGCCTCAAAATCTAATTCTTGAGTGCGCAATTTAGCTAGTGCTGCATATCGGAAGGCTAGCTCTTCGCTTTTGAGGTTGGTGTACTCTTTAATAAGGATTTTAGATAAGATGGTCGGATTTCGATATAAATGTCTATACATAAATAATTCATAATTTCTCATTTTGTAACAAGTACTTAATTGGTTGGCCTTCTTCTGAAATCAAGAATTTGCAGAAGTCCTATTTGATTTGTCGTCCATTAGCCAACTTCTCATCATATAATTGAGGGATTTGTCTCTTGAGAAATTTGTATAATGGATGGGTATAAAAACCATTCAATTCCACTTTCTAATAGACTTTGAATCCTTGTAATTTGTCAGCAATCTGCTAATATGTGAATTTGTGATCGCATTTAGGAAAGAGGAGCACTTAATACGGTAGAGATTTCAAATAATTCAATTGATCATTCAATTCAGGAGAGTCGATTGCAACATTAACTATGACTACTTTTTGACCCTTATATTGAGAGAGTGATTCTTCAGACTTATTAATATCGATGACATTGATTTCGTGTATGGATTTAAATGGAGTTTCAACAGGAGAATCTAGAAACCATAACTTTCTTATTCCTGAATTTCCCATAATTAATTTATTAATTTTTATATTTTCCCGTTATTTATAATTTGTATATACACAAATAAATATATTAATTCGTTAAAGATGGACGACAAACTATAAGAATTGTTCCAAAAAACCTTGATAGAAAATACAAATGTGAATATCTAGAAGATTGTACAAGGATAAGCTAGAGTGATACAATAAAATGCTCAACCACTAAGTTAAAAAAATGAGGCTATTTCAATAAAAGATGTTTAGAAGAAGTTGGAAGCAATCGAAAAGAATTTAATGATCTAGGATTCAGCCAGGAAGAGAAGAACATCTCGTTATCATTCTAAACGAAGTAGCATTAAAATTAATACCTAAAATGGATCAAATTCACCTTCTCCATATTAATTGGATATTGAAGATGCAAAGGATTATGAAGCTGATATTTTAAGAAAAGAGAATCAGCGATTAAAAGTATGTCTAAAGTATCTAAATAGGAACGTTTAGAGTAGCTGAGATCATATAATGACGACGATAACTCAGATGATTTAAATAGGGAAAGAGAGAATCTCTAAAAAATGAAGTTGGAATTTCAAAGTAAGGATGAGGAATTCAAAATTCTACACAATAAATTAGATCTCTTAGAAATTGATTTAAATAAAAAACACTCTCAATTATTATTACAATCTAAAAAATTGGAAGTTTAATAATAGACTCTGCAAAAGAATGTAAGATATAGTAGATTAATAATAAATAGGAAGAATTAATTAAAGAAAAGAGAGATTGCATCGATGCATTACAATAACAAATCAATTTAAATATATCATAAGTGATTTCCCTTAATAAGTTTTAAATATATTTGATATTTCTAGTAATGAACTAAAACAAAAATTACCTTAAAAACTTGGAGTGTAATTGGATGTTGTTGAATAGCTTATATTATCAACTTTTAAAGAAAGACAAGTTGCATAATAAGAATACTTATGTTTGAGATAATTGAAGAATGTGATTAAAGACCAATAAAAAGAATATTTAAAGAAGATCTAAATCTGAATAACTTATCAATCATCATGATCCACATGAACTTATTAAATGCTTTTAAAGTACTAAACAAAATTAATTGGAGAGAACTTTTATTCCTCTCTTTTAACTTATTTTAGTTATTATCTTAATGTTTGTTTTTTCCCACCAATTGTGTTTCCCAAGAGATTTGTTATTTAGCTGGATAAATGCGGTAATTCAACTCTGGGATCGTAAGGTGGTTCATCTCCATCAGTAAACGAGTCCTCTAATTTCTACTTCAAAGATTTAAAATCATTGATCATACACTTATCTACTCCTCGTATATCTGTATCATTGGGAGGCAATGCTTGTTTCATATCATTTCCTATAACCAAGTAAACATACAATAGAAATCCATCTAATTTAGATGTAAGTTCTTTAGATCTTCTATCGTCTATATCGATAGGTTTGTCTCCCCTTATGATGGATAACCTCTCAGCAAGTCTGCCTACGCTTTCTATGAATTCATGAAAATTCATCAGGTAGTGCTTGCTGGAAAAGAGTTCATCCTTTTGAGTTATCATTGATTGTAAATAAATTAGATAGCATTCTCTTTCACTCAAGTCATCACAGATTAATTTCGATTGCACAATCCAATCCTTAAAATCCTATACAGAAATAAAATCATATTTGCACACCTGCTTATCCTTCTTACTCAATTTGCATATATATTTAAATAGAGATTTCAACATAGCCAATCGATCATTGAGTATGATATCGCATTTTTGATTCCATAACCTACTCTTTCTCCACATCTAAGCCTAATCGAACTTTGCAAAGTAATCTTGGGCTTATTTGGTAACTAGAGTTATAGCCTCAGTCATGGTAGTACAGATCCCTTGTCGGATATACTTATCATTGCACATTCTTATCATTATTTCCAACAATTAGCAACGTACCAATCCCTTGTCAAATGCTTGTGGAAATGGAACATCCTTTGCTGCAGTCGTTGACGTAAAACTAATATCAATATCGTTAGTCTTGTATCCATCCATCAATGAGGCCTAGACTAAAAAGTCGATATAGTCTTAAATCATTATGCATGGGATTGGAGCTGCTAATGAACCAGAGGCGTGATATTTGTATACGTGAAAGAGCTGACGGTAAAGAATCTTTAAATTCTCTTTGATTTCCTATAATTCTGTTTCTTTTACCAATCGAGTGACTTTAGAATTCTGAAAATCAAATTCAAAGCATTCATCAATTAATTAAGGTGTATCTGGTTGAAAATGTTTAAATATTGAACTCTCAACTGACCATCTGTGTTTTTTTATATTCAAATAAGGAGAAAAATCAAATTTAGCCATTGGTTCTCTAGGCTTACACTGCACCATTGGCATATACTTGTCAAACAGTTGTTGTTTATTGGTCGTTCTCAAAACATTAACTTAATCCATTATATTCCCATCAACCAGGATCTCATCATTGTACAAAAATGGGATTGATTGGATTTACATATTCTTAATATTTTAATCCATAGCTGGTTGTTGCACTCCAAGTATTGGATTGGTAAAGAAGTAATGTATTTCTTTATTTGGAGGACACATTTTAATAAAAAAGAACTCATTATTAAGAAATGTCATTAATAAAGGTCGATAATCTTCAAAATCAAAATGAATAAAGATAGGCTCATTGTATAAACTACCAGATTTATGGGCTGTCCATTCAAACTTAATTTCTTACCATCCTTCACATATCCAACAAGTATCCAATTTATTTATTTCATTCACCTTCTAAACATTCAATTTAGTCGATCGAATTTTTCTTGATCTGCTAAAAGGCATCACCAAAGATTCCTCTCGCCTCATATGAGTTTATTCGACTTTAGCTTCTTCCAGCAATTTGAAATATTGTGGTTATTTGTAGAGTTGAGTCAATTTATCTTTTAATTACGAATGGTATACGATATTGTTAATCAAAAATCCATTGGGATTGACACACAATTCAGCTTAATTGCCTTCGAAATGAAAACCATAAATGGTCTCATTTTTTTGAAGTGCATCTGCTATGATTTATGCTTAAGGATATGTGAATTTGTTAAAAGAGAGATCTACATGCAATAATTCATTATAAGGTCTGGATACAGCCTTGTTAATTGATTAAGCACATTCAAGAGATGCAATATTGTTATGAGACAAGTCCAATATTTTAACACTAGTATTTTTGTACATGGCTTTCCAGATGGTTGTACCAGCACTTGCATTTAGATAGTTGTAACCAAGATACAATTCTAAGAGACGTTGAGTCTATTTTAAGAGATTCGAAATTGCTGTACTTGAACATTCTGTGATTTAATTATGATGAAGATTGAGTGATTATGATGTATTGTTATTGAGAAGATGTTTCATTATTATTTGTGATCCGAGATCCCGAATATTGTTACATTCAAGGTTCAACTTATAAATTTGGTTTTTCCCCGCGAATGACATCAAAATTTCCATATGCATATGATTTGATTTGCAATTTTGTAATTCCAAATCTTTCAAGGTGATTGGAAATGTAAGTAGGATATCTCTTAATTACTTTGGAGTGAATTGATTATGATTCAATTGCATTGCTTGAATTTACCTGCTTTATTAAGTAAGCATGGCATTGGAGAATGCATTCCCATCTTCACTATTTTTTATTGATCTGCTAGCATTTGCAGTCACTAAAGATCTAGTATTTTGAATCAAACCAAAGGTCTTGGGAACTCTTTAAGGTTAAGAGAAGTTTAGACTTAAGTAAAGATTGTGTGGTTGCTATTTATATAATTTAGAATAATCTTCGAATTTCTAGGAGTATCGAACTGTTTTCAAGAAATCCTGAGTACTGATAACAGATAATTGCTTGCTTAAGATGATTAATGAAAACATACTTGCCTAGTTTCATCTTATAAAAGTAATTTGATCTATCATTTGTGGGACTTACCACACTTGGGCTAGTCTTCATCTTTAATGTTAATGGGGATTTGATTTCAATTTTTGTTATATCTTCGTTGTTGATTTATTAAATGGCATTGTGCTCCTTCTCTAAAAAACCTTACCAATCGTTGATTTCCATTTTTAACAATTAGTCTTGGGCCTCAAAACTCTCATTCCTTTCTTAGACACATTGAAATCTCTTCTAAAAGAGTTATTTCTTATTTTTCTACTAAGCATTTCGGTCATTAGTTAAATCAGTATACAGTTCTGAAACGTCACTCTTTTGCAAGAATACTAATTTACGATATGCAGAGGAACTCGAAGTACCCAAGGTTGTTAGTTCAGAATAATCATCCTTCATGTTATTATTATATATAAATAAATATATATATAATCAAAAGTCACGCTTATTCCATCTCATTCTGTAACATTTCCTCCTCTTTTTGCTTGAAGTATTACACAACATTAGTCAATAAGAAATTCGATTTCAATTGCTTCTACTGTTGCATCTACTTTATAACAGAGAAGAAAGACAAGACCTTCTTCAATTTCAATCCTGTTTAAATTGTCTGCACTGGAACTTGTTTCAATTGTTCCTCCAGTGATGAAGCCTCTACTGCTGGATTATAAGGTTTGTCTTCTTCCTCGCTCCCCATCTCTTCTATTTATTGTTGCAAGGTCTTTTGCTTTCTGGTCATACACTTATCAAAATCAGTAAAATCTTCAGCTTCCTTCAATTACTATTTGATAGCATCTCCAGCCCTCAAGTAGATGAGGAGCAAAAAGGCATCAATCTTCTTATGGAGTGGCTCTTATCTCCTGTCGTCAATACTCAAGATGTCCTTAGTTCTAATCAACGACAGTTTCTCAGCACATCTACACAAGGCTTCTATAAACTCATAGAATTCCATTTGAAAATGTCTCAAACTATATAGCTCATCTACTTGGGTTTGCATTGATAACAAATATGCCAAATAGGCATCTCTTTCAACAAAGATGTCACAATACAAATCGCATCTGAGCATGAGATCTCTGAAATCCTTAAATTGAATCCAAGTGTGTTTATAGAATTTCTACTTAGGATTCAATTTGGATGTATATTTAAATAACAATTTGAGCATGGGCAATCGATCCTCTATATTATTTAGTATACATTCTTACTTATTAACATGTCACTCTACTCGTTCCACAATCTCATATCCCTCCAATCCTGAGATCGATCAATCTCCTGTAATCTGGCCTTGACTAAATCATCCTCAAACAATTTCAAGACACTTAATTTCATTGATTTACATATTCCAGTTCGAGTATACTTATCCAATGCTATTCTTACGAGTACTTCCATAAATTGGTATCTTACTAATGCCTTCTCATAAACATTCGGATATTGAATATCCTTCACATTTGATGTAGATATGAAGTTTAAATCAATGTCTCCAGGTCTGAATTTGTCAGTCAACACTGTAGTCTAACCAATAAAATCAAAAAACGCATTCGATGATATACAAGGAATCTAATCATATAAATCAACTATTTTACACTGGCTCCGATTAGAGTAGAAGCATAGAATTTAAAACTAGCAAAGATATATGGGTAATATTCCCTTAAGATTTCTTTAACTTCCATCAACTCCTAAGGATCACGGACTATCCTGTTAATTTTTGAAGTCTGAAAATCATATTCAAAGCACTCATCAATTAATTCATCGTTATCTGGTTGGTAATTTTTGAATATTGAGATTTCGTAACTCCAAAATGCTTGTTTTTTATTCATGTACTAAGTTAAATCGTAAGTTCTTTCCTCTTCTCTCGGTTTACTGAATATCTTAGGAACATATTTATCAACTACAGTATGTTTTCCTTCAGTGAATACTTCATTCACAAAAGTCATTTTGTTACCTTCGATTAAGATGTCTCCATTATAAAGGAATTCTTATAAACCTTGAGAGATAGGGTGCATTTTAAGGAGTTTGCATAATCATTTAGTTTTTAGCTGTTGTTTAGATTCCAAGAATTGGATTACTGAAGAAATACAGAATCCTTTGATTGGGTGGACACATTCTATATAAATGATATTCTCCTTGATGAGGGTTCATTAGAACAGGACGATAACCATCAAAGTTGACATGCAAAAAGATTGGATCATTGTTCATACCTCCAGATTTGCCTGGACTCCAAGTGAATTTGACTTCTTCCCATCCTTCGCAGATCCAACAAGAATCTCTTTGTTTATCTAATTATTGATTCTATTTAACAGGTTTCATTCCCCAAATCCTTCTGAATCTATGAAGCTGATGAATTTCTTCCTTCTTTTGGACAATCTTTTTTGGTTAGACAGGAACATCATCATCCAATAATCGAAGTGAAGTTTATGGGTTTTTTCTGCATTCCTCTATTTTTTTCTATCTCATTAATTCTTCTTATTGTGTGTCTCTGAGATGGCCAGTAGCATCTACTGCAAATTTGGGGCAATTTCCTTCATAATGAAACCCATAAATATTTTGATTAACATTTAGAGCCTTCATGATTTCGATAGAGGAGAGTTCATCGAATCCGTTATGTGACACATCTATGTGCATCAACTCTGGATATGGTTTGGCAATGACCTTGGCCATTTGCTGAGCACACTCAAATGAAGCAGTGCGATTGTATGAAATATCAAAAACTTTGACACTCGAATTCTTGTAAAGAGCCTTCCATATGTTGACGCCTCCTTTATTGTTAATGGAATTGAAGTGTAAGTACAATTCAAAAAGTACATTTGATTTCTTCAAATAGTTCGATAGATCATTGGTACAATTGTCTATATTGGAATAATGGGAGAATTACCTGTCAGATTGTTGCGACTCAGATTTAACAAGGTCAGGTAATCATTGTCTTGCAAAGCCACAAAGAGGTAATTGGCACCTAGATCTCCAATCTTATTGTTTTCCAATGAGAGTTTCTTCACTCTTGATTTCTGCATGTACTTGGCCAAGGTTTCACAGGCTTTGGAATCCAATCCATTGTTATTGAGATCCAGATCTTGGATTTGTTGAGGGAAGTTATCGACCAAACTCTTGATTTTAGGTGAGGTTAATTGATTGTGACTGAGTTTCAATTGAGTGATCTATTTGCATTGAGGAGACTAGAGAGCTTCTGTGAATACCCTGATTTTCGACTCATTCCTCAGCATTCCCTGGGATTCAGCAGTTTAGATTGTGTAGTTGGAATTAATTAAGCCAAGGCCAGATTGAAAGATATTGTAGACTGAGACTCAATATAAAATTAATACCTTGAGAGCTCTTATTTAATTGCAAATAGATGTTGGGTTATTGTTTATAGAATTAAGCATATTCTTCTAGTTTCTTGAAATTTTTGGCAGTGCTTCTGAAGTCCTTTTGATTTATCTTCTGTAGGTTTTTACTATTCATGTAGGATAAAAGTAACTTACTTTCCCAATCTATAATTTTTTAGAAACTTTCCTCGATCCGACAAATCATCGTAAGGTAGATCCTGACGATCCTCATAGAGATAAGGTTATTGTCTCTTGAGATCTTCAAGTTTTGTAGGAGCTATTACCGTAGCACCTCTTCTCTATGGTCTTTGAGTTTAATTTGGTTAATGATGTTTACGATTAAATGGACGCACAGGACTGATCTCCTCTTTGATGGCAAGTCTTTGTGATAAGACTTGGGCTTCCTCGTTGAGTTGATCAATGAGTTTCTGATCTCCTTGATAGAGATCGTACATAGTCTCCATCCTCAGATTCTGTTGCATCTCCTTCAGTTCTTCGGTCTCATTGATGCGAGCAGTATGCATTTGTATCCTCTATCGTATAGGTATCTCTGTAATACGAGTACATGAATTCATTTTGGTGGATGGCATTCTCATTTTCACAATGTCGAGTTGCGATTTAACGATGGGAGACTTCTGATTAAGACTGGTCCACGTACTTCGTTAACTCGATTGCCTCACTAGATAAGGGCTATGTCGTAGTACCGATCTTCTATGATTCTGGGACCTTGATTTACGATCCCTGTTATTCTTCCTGTTCCTGTTGCTTGCGAACTTCGCGTAATTTCTCCAATAATTTGGCCGGAGTGTTATAGATCTTGAGTTTCTCAAACAACATAATTTTATTAATGAAGTAAATTGGCCATTATACATACGATGAAATAAATTGTCTCGGATAAGGAGCATATGGCAAAGTCTATGAAGGATTAAACACTCTCAATAACGAAACAGTTGCCATCAAGAAGTTGGACTTGATACTCTTCGAAAAGGATAAGTACTTGCGCAAACAAATAGGTATATCATCTATAAAGAATCATCCAAGTTTAGGAGATAGAAATCATGAGCAAACTCAATCACAAGAACATAGTCAAATTTGTTGAGCTCTTGGCTACCAAGAAATCCCTATTCATTGTGACTGAAATGTGTCGTAGTGGAGATCTTAAATCATTGATTGCCAGCAAAAATATAAGTGAGTAACAAGTATGCCCATCAATCTATGACCTAGGCTATCGACATTATGCTCTAAATACTCGAAGGCTTCAAAGAATTGATTAAGAGTGGTGTCATTCATCGAGATATGAAACCAGCCAATGTTCTCAATGACATGGGTACTGTCAAAATTGCAGATTTCGGATTTGCCAAATACGTTGAGAATTATTCCTCACAACTACTTAAGTCCTGTGTTGGAAGTCCTCTCTATATGGCACCACAAGTCTTGGAAAGACATCATTACAGCACTAAATGTGATATCTGGTCACTTGGCGTCATCTTTTATGAAATGTTGCACTTTGATGTACCATGGAAGGGCAGAGATGAGGAGGACCTCCTACACAACATCAAAACCTAACCCTTATAATTCAAAAATGATCTTAGCAAATTTTCAAAGCAATTTCTAACTATCGTAAATATTTCTATTTATCTTAGACTCTTGTCATTGAAGAAGAGAATCGAGCTTCCTGGAATCAAATTTTCGATCTCTCCCATACATCTGAATTACAAAAATCTGTTTCTGCCGAAGATATCAATGAAGAGAGCATATAAAAATTACCTACTTGGATCCAAAGACCTAGCATTTCATAACGACAAGACAAAAAAGTCGACGAACAGAAGTACCAATAGATTGAGGAATTACAATCACTAAGAAAATAGATAGCTTATTAGCATTTCATCATGACAGAGTGTTATACAGAACAGATCAATAATGAGAATAACGGAGAATTACAATAGGAGAGTATCAAACAATTGTTGAATTATATCAATGAAAACATTGTTAAAGAATCATATGATTTGATCTAGGTAAGTTACATGATTACAATAGGCTAGCGTTGATCTGTATTAGAAAATGTAATAGAAAAATTTGCTTTGGAAAATGCAAGAACAATTGAATGCAGAGCATAATTATTATATGTAGATGTAGATTGATGCTAAAAAGTTGTTTGCTCTGAACTAATATTAAGGGAAACCTGATGATAAATAAATTAATGAAGCAAAAATATAATTGTAAAAATGCAAAAGTTCAAATGTAAACATTTCATTATTGATAACATAGATAGGCTGCTTCAATGTTGTTAGATTTGATAAATAATTCAAATTGGAAAAAATGATTCTTATTTTAAAATAGAAAATCAAAATTACAAAATTATCCTACATTTAATTTCAACTAATTATTATACTAATATATAAATATGCCCTTTCTTAAGGGAATATCAAAATATCAAAGAATAATTATATTATTTAGTATTAAAAATGACATTAAATATCAATATAATAAATTATAACCTAGAAAATTTAATAATTTTCATTTTTCAAGACAATCTCATTATGATCAATACGTGTTATTGATAAATAAGAATTTGAGGAGAAAGAATAAGTAATCACTTAAATTACAGAATTTGAATATTAAGATTGATGGAATATATTGTAATTCCCTACTGAAATCTAACTATTCACTCTCATTTAGAAATAAGAAGAAGATAAAGTAAATAAATAAAATTGCGGATTAGGACTGTGAATATATTAAATATAATGAATAATATTATCGAATTTATAAAAAAAAATGGGAATCCATTTGAAACTCTTGAACTCGACATGACAGCAGATAAAAAAGAGATAAAATCTTAATATAAAGATTTGGCTAGAAAATATCATCCTGATAAGAATTTAAATACTAAGGAGATTTTCATAAAGATTTAAAAAGCATATGAGTTCATTGTGAATAATTTGGCAGACATCCATAAATATGTAGAGCACTAGAAATTCAGACAACAAGAAAATAGCAAAATGAGCAACGAATAGAAATAATATGCAGAGGATTTAAAGAGAAGAGAATAATTTGCTGAGAAACAGAGATAATAGGATGAGGTAGTAAAGTAAATGAAAGTTAATGAAGAAGTATTAATATCTTACATCTTAGATGACTAGACTTGAAGAATAGAGAAAATTTGAGGAGAATGAAAAGAAATAGAAACAAGAGAAATTAATTTAATTTGAGTTGCAAAATCAAGATCTGTATAAGAGATTAAATACTATAAAGATCAAGTGGGCAAAGGATTAGTTATATACTTCTGATTTGTTAAGTCTATTATTTAAAAACTATGGAGCTATTCAGGAGATTAAAATTAAGGATAATAAGAGAAAAGCAACTATCACTTTCCATACAACTGAAGCAGCAGTAAATAAATAAATATATTATAGAGTAATGCAGTGATTCAATCTAATAGTGGATTTTTGAAGGTTAAGCACTTTATGAAGGAGGAAAAGAGGTAGTAAGTTTAGAAGCAATTGCAAACAGAAAAGGAGCAAATCAATAGGAATGATCAAAATGTCTATAATCTCAGTACTGATACTTTGAATAGAATTTCTCATTTTTACAATAAAGATTCCAAGATAAAGGAGGGGTTGGACGAACTTAAAAGAGAGCAGGAGAGATTAAAATTAATAAATTAGATCTATGAAGAGGAACTAAATAAATGAGTGTGAGTGTGTGTTTTGATTAATGTAATTTTATCTATTTTTTGATTTAAAAGAGAGAGTTCAAGTGAAATGCTGGGTTGGATTAATATTGATAAATTTTTAAGTTTATTTTATATAATAATTAAAAAACGAATTACAATTATGGATTAGTAAAGATTTTAGATATCTTATCCCTAATTGTAAAGTATGTTTGACACAGGCAACTTGTAATCTGGTCAATCGAGTGAAATATTAGATCAAATAGGGTAAGTTGTAATGTAAATAGAAGGGGTGTTGAATAAATATTCAGAAGTTTGGAAAGTGATCCAAAAAGTGGAATATAAGATGTGAGTGATAGAGTAGAGCAATTTGGAAGTAATAAGTTGGATCCACCTGCTTTATCCCCCTTTTATATGTGTATGTACAAATAGAGCAAGGATTTCTGTATTCGAATCTTAGCACTTGCAACAGTAATAATGTTTCTGATGGCTTTATTCTCTGAAGAACCATTCGAATAGATAGTGTAAGCATTTTCAATTCTTATTGCAATTTGTGCAGTGGTGATCATAGGTGCATTGACTGACTATAGAAAGGAAAAATAATTTAGACAATTGTATTTGGAATAGGAGGAACAATAGAAGAAACTATTTTAGGTGGTTCGAAATGGAGTCATCTAATAATTGAATCATCTTGACCTTGTTGTAGGAGATATCATTACAATTAAACCAGGGGATAATGTGACCATAGATGGGATACTCATTGATGGAACTGAGACTGTAGAAGTGGATGAAAGTATGATAACTGGTTTAACTGATTCATTATCTAAACAACCGATATCAAGAGGCAAGAATTGTTTTATTAGAGGAGGTAGCAATATTTTTGAAGGAACCGCAAAAGTGATAGTTTTGGCTGTGGGTAAATTTACATACTCTAACAGAATGAAGAATGATAATTAGATTAAGGAAGAGGGGGAAGAGGAATTGATTCATGATGAACGATCGCCATTGGCAAAAGCATTAGAAACATTGGCTAAATTCTTAGTCTTCATTGGTTGCATGAGTGCATTGGCTATGTTTATTATTTTAGAATTGTATATGGTTAGAGAACTATAAGAATTACAAGAGAAAATATTCTCTTAGTTTACTTTAAAGAAGGTCCTATCAGATTTTATTGATGCTTTTCTTATTATAGTACTCTCTATTCCAGAAGGATTGCCATTAATTGTAACATTATCTTTGGCATTTTCGATTGCTAAATTGAGATAACAAGACATTGTGATTAGGAATTTGCATGTTTGTTAAGTGTTGGGAGGCATTGATACTATTTGCTTTGATAAAACTGGAACATTAACCTATAATAATCTCAAAGTTAGTAGTGTTCACATTGCAAGTGAAGAAAGATACCATAATTTGCAATCTAAAGATCCCATTTTTAGAATGTTAGCAGAGGCAGTATTATCTACAAATTCAGCCTTTTTATCAGAAGAAACTATTAATCAAATTAAATAGGGTGAGCAAGAAGAGGGCCAATCAGAACATAGTGGAAAATCAAATAAGAAATCTTAAAAATCAAAGAGTTCTTCTTCAAAATCTGTTAAATCCACAAGTGTGAAAGAGGGAACCATAAAAAGTGATTGGAGTGGTAATAGATTGGATGTTGCTCTAATTGATTATGTGGAATTGAAATTGAAAAGGGAATTCGTTTATGAATATTTAGAAGATCTAAAGAATTAAATTAGAAAAACAATTCCAATTAATAATTATGGATTCCATACTGAAGTTTTATAGATAAGAGGTGATAAATACAGGATCATTTTGAAAGGCAAATCCAAAGAAATTATTGAAAAATGTAGTTAACTCAATATCTCAATTCCAGATAATAGGGATTTCGAATTATATGAACCAGGACGATTTCTATTGTAAGATTGTTGCAATCAAGTTATGAACTAAGAGTTTTCAGAGTTAGAAAAGAAGGCTGTTTTAAATTACAACTCTTAATCACTAAAAACTATATCATTTGCATATAGAGATGTTTAAATCAACAATTTGATTGAATAAGATTGGAACCAATTAATCACTTAGAATAACTTTACTTATATTGGAACCATAGCTATGAGAGATGACATTAGACAGGAGGCTAAGAGATTAGATAGTGCTTTGAAAATGGGTAGTATGAGTGTGATGATATTGACTGGGGACACTAGAGTAAATGCAGTTAATGTAGCCAAATAATTAGGGTGGGTAAGTAGTGATTAAGCAGATCTTGAAATATAAAGAATAAGTGAACATTTGCCAAAGTCTTCTCAAATGGAATAACCTAACATCATTGAACCTCCATTCATTAATACTGATGAATAATAAGCTATCAAGATTACATCAGCAATAATGGAATGTCCACAAGATGAAATTGCTCCACTCTTGAATAATAAATTTGATCATTAATAAATTCCATCTTCAGCAACATTAAAAACTATATTGATTTTGAATTTCTAAGAATATGTCATTAGAATTAGAAAGATTCTTAATGATTCCAAAATTTATTATACTCATTAAGAAGTTAATGAAAAAAACATTGTATCCAAAATTCCAGAGATTTTAGATGATGCCATTGCTAGCAAAGTATTATTCAATAAATAAATCTTAGGCAGTCTCAAATATGAATAAAGTACTATAAATCTTAGCAGATCTCAATTAACATTAAAAGCATCAATTTTTGGAGGTGTATTCCAACATCAATGAATCCACCATTGGATATGTCGGAGATGGAAATAATGATGCTATTGCTCTGTAAACTGCAGCTGTTGGTATCACATTAGGAAAGACTGCCACTAACATAGCTAGAGAATGTAGTGGAGTAATCTTGATGGATGATAAATTAGATGGCATCGAACTATGTATGAAATATGGCAGAAACATCTTCTTAAATATTAAAAGATTTATCTATTTCCAATTGAGTTTCTTTTTGAATTCCATTGCTATCATGCTAACTGCTTCTATTGTTTTGAAATAATAGCCATACACTGTCTTAGAAGTCATCTGGTTGAGCTTGTAATTTTATGATATCATTTTAGAGTACAAGATATATTTTCAGCCATTGCCCTTAGTACTGAGATTCCTTAGGATGATATCTTAAATAGAACTAAGCCTGCTAAAAGAGGAGAAAATATCATCGACAAGTTTTTATTATAAATGACTTGCACGTAAGCCACATTCCAATATTTGGCCACTTTGATTGTTCTCTTTTTGACACCATTCATTTTTGACATTGAGTAATAATATTTCAATAAGCAAATAGACCCTCTTACAAGCATGATTTGCATGCTCTAGGAGCAGAGTTTGTATCTGAATGGGCTGTTCATTATACTCTTGTCTATCATTTAACTGCTAATTTCTAGATTGTCAATTTAATATGCAGTCGTAGAATTGGTTAACATGAATACAATGTATTTGAAGGTATCCAAAAGAATAAACCATTTACTGTCATGATCATTGGATTGATAATAATTCAATAAGTTATCATATATGCTGGAGGCAAGTACTTTAAGACTGCTCCATTAACCATATTGTAAAATCTGTTTTGCTTATTTTTATCATTCGGAGCCATGATTGTCTTTTGGTTGTCTAAATATTTCTATTCAATTTAAAAAAAATGACATATCAAAATAGATATATATGTAAAACAAATACAAATATTATTTTTATCAATATATAGAGCACCCTTGCTTAAATTCTACATTAGATAATTATTCTTGTTTAAGCTTCTTTGATGATAGGTTTTTTCTCTCTTTTTATGAAAATAAGATTATGGTTGTGTGATAATCTTAGAATATTTAAGATTATCTTAATATTTAATACCATAACTATAGAAAAAAATCAATAATTGCTATAGAATGCCTAGATTACATGCATAACCATATAAATAGTATGTGATTATAAAAATCTTACTATAATGATTATAAATATATACTTAGTGATTTTCTCCCAAATTTAAGTGAATTTTTACATAATTTATATTTCAAATTTATGATTAATTGATTGCAAAGTTTGAATAAATCTTTTAATGATTACAAGATAACAACAAAGAGAACTTCAAATTAATAAATTAATCATAAAATAAAAACAAAAATCAAGTTAATCATCCACTGATACTACTCCATCATCTGAATTGCAAGAAAATTCCTTACTTGAAATGCTAGAATTTCTCTATGTTGGAAACAAATAGTCAGTTGAAAAAGATGATCAAGAATCTTCCTAAGATCCTCAGATTAAAAGAATTGAAGATTATAATAAATAATACTATAATGATAACCTACACAATTTAATAGATGATTAGAACGTCTTTAGTCAATGTCTAGCTAATCATAGAATAAGAGAATGGGCAAGAGGTAAAATGATTGATTGGATGATTGAAGTGTTTGCATCCAACAATAATGAATACTCAAATAATGATCTTACTTTTTTTAGAGCTGTCAGCTTATTGGATGCATACTTGAGAAGCTCCTATAATTTAAATGAATCAGATATGTATTTAATTGGAGTAACTTGTATATTAATCGCATCAAAAATTGAGGATATTTATCAACTTTCCATTAAAACAATTATTTAAGATCTTTCCCATAATAACTTCTCCTTGTTTTAAATCAAGTAATAGGAATCGATAATCCTTGAAACATTAAATTTTGATACTTGTTTTCCTACTGTAAATGACTATCTACAATATTTATGCTTCTAATTATTTGGATAATCAAAAAAGTAGACTATATGATATGATATTTTAGCCAAGCATTTTAAATAATTTAAGAAACAGCTTTGTACACACTCAAAATGTGTTAGCATGATTATGGCATTATATAATATCAATAATATTTATTAGCAGCCAGTGTAATAGGATTTACTATTTTAAACTATGTTGAATTGCATTTTTAATAATTACCAATCAACTTTAAAAAATAATTATTATAGACTGTATGTAATATATTATAAATTTACCAGTAGCATACCCTTTTGAGAATTGGATAATTAGAGTTAGCAGATTATGTGGAATGTATACAAAAAGTTGAAGAATTAACTTAAACATTTCATAGTAAATACCCTGAATATTTAAATCTTTAGAGATTCAATTGACTATACTGTAGTATTTAGTTTTTAATTAAAAAATTAATTAATTATTAAAAATAAAAAAGAACCGCCCTCCAAGGGGGTCGAACCCTTGACATTTGGCTTAAAAGGCCAACGCTCTGACCAACTGAGCTAGGAGGGCTAGCTTGACACTTGTACACTTCTTTCTATTATGAACTAATCGAAAATGAATTTTTAAATTAATATTTATATATTTAGTAACATCTAATATTATGAATATATAAACTTAGTCAAGCAGAACAAAAATAAGTGAAAGCTCTAATTGAAATTATAATCATACTGAGAAACAACAAAATATTATTGGATTTTATGAAGTATATATAGAAAATTATGAATCAATATATTGAATTATTAAAAATGAATAAATTATTTCGTTTTGCAAAAGTGATTGCAAGATCAATTTATAAACCTGCTTAAAAAACTCTCTATAGAATTCCATAGATTAAGCAAGTTCTTAATGATGACCATCGTTAGAAATCCTAATTTAATACACTGGCATTCTAGTAATTCTTTTATAAAATTTTCTAGAAATCACTTACAGTTGATTTAAGTCTAGAATTAAGAACAAATTAAATAGAAATTCTAAGTTGGCCTCTCAGAATTAGGTAATTAATTTATAACTATAACTAGCCAAAATAAATGCTTAGCTATTGAAGTAAACTAATTACGTCAGGTTTGCCGGGGACTTTAGTCCTTGTGTTAACCCTGAGTAGTTTATTCATGCGTTGTAGATTTATAGACAAGGGGCTTTGGCTTAGTTCTATAGCATTGACGATTTAGAGACCATTAACAGTGTTTATCAATCAGACTCCGAATTTGAGTTTTAGGATAGCCAAATATTATGAATAACCTATTAGATATACTTATATTTATAATAATATTTCACACAAAAAGAGATTCTTAAAAAAATTTTCATTATGATATAACTTTTATGAAGATACCTCTAATTCACAATCACAGATATGCTTTCATCGATGCCAACTCTACTTGATATCCAAATTTTCAAGGGTGTAATTAAAGATGTACTAATTGATAATATCAATTAAAGTCTAATAATATTAATATGAATAAAGAGACTGTGCCGATGTTTAAGTTTATAGTCGTAGGAGATCAATGTAAGTGGGTATGTCAGACTTAGCTGTGGGCAAAAGTAGCTTTGTAAAATAATATTCCGAATCCATTTTCATAGAAACTCATAAACCAACTATAGGAGTAGAATTTGTAAAAAAAATTGTTGTTGTGGATAAACGCCGAGTTGAATTATAAATTTGGGATACTGTAATTTAGGGTCATATAAAATAGGCTGGACAAGAATAATTTCGTAGTATGATAAAGAGTTTTTATCGTGGCGCAGCTGGAGTTTTTGTGTTATACGGTGTGAATCAAAGAGATTCCTTCGAAAAATTAAATGAATGGTTACAAGAATTATAGGAGAGTGCTCATGAAGAAATCGTTAAAATTTTAGTAGGAAATAAATCAGATTTAGAAAGAGATGTATCAAAGAAAGAGGCAGAAAAATTTATGAATGATAATAATTTTAGTTTATTTTTTGAGACTTCCGCCAAAACTGGAGAAAATGTAGAAAAGGTAAAATTACTGATTCATTTTTAAGGCTTTTGTAGAAGCTGTTAAACTGGTGATTATGCGCATGTTTACAAGTGAATCGTTTAAAAACTCAATAAAAACAATTAAAAAGACTCCTGCAAATTCGAGACAAAATACAAGTAGAAATGAACCCATAGATGATGTTGCTTAATCATCGAAACCTATACAACTATAAGTTACTCCATAAAATTAATAAAAATAAGAAAAGCAGTGCTGTTGAACATTTTAATATTATAATGTATTATAACATAATTTTTAATTTTACAGGCATTTAAGAATTGAAATTAAAGATTTTCCTCTCTTAGATCAATTATATAGAATTGACTCAATAATTCCCTTACCATTCAACTCATAATATTATTTGGCCATGAGCTTTTAAATTCTAAAATTTCTTTTATTACTTTTATTATAATCCAATTAATATTATCATCTAAAAAAATTTTATATTTCTCTTTTTGTTTGTTAATACCTCATTTGAAAATTTCAATCATAATTTGAATTTAAGCAAGTGAGATACGATAATCAAGCATAATTTTTCCCCTCTTTTTCTAAAATTTTTTTATCTTATTGTTTAAAACTCCTATTAGACTTTTTTATTCAAAATAATAAGTTTTCTTTCAAATCGTAATTAAGGCAATTACAGCACTAAATTAATAAAAAAGGATAGAAATTATTTAAATTAGATTGATTTTTACATACTTTTTTTTATGTTATGTTGAAAAATTGTTCTTATTTAAACAATTATTTTCCAATCTCATTTATATATATCTTCTGAAAATTTATTCTTTCCATAAATGATAAAATTCTTTAGAGAAAGTCTAATATAGACTTAAATTAAAATATCAACTCAAAAAATAGGAATAATAATTTATCCTAAAATTTTAAGAATTAAAAAATATTATAGATTTGACCTTCTAATTGGATTAAACAAAATGAAATGTTATGATAATTCATGTGATTTATTTATTTAATAAATTATCTATAACAATAGTATACCTTTAAATTTATAATTCTTGCTTAATTATTAAAGTGCTATAGTTTCAAATGAATAAGTAAGTTTGTAATTTATCAATATCATCTATTCATAAATTTGAAATTTTTTATATTTACAGTTAGAATATAAAATGTCTTAGCCCATATAAGACATATAATGTTAGATACGCTTCAATGATGCTCACTTTATGAATAATTAATGAAATTTAATACATTATATTTAAATGAGAAAATTTGATATGAGGATGTTTTTGAATTATATATATATAAACATAAAGTCATTAATTTTAATCCAATAGACCACTAGAATTGCACCGTTATAGGGATTTTTTATTTATACTTCTCTTTCTCAAACGTTCATTAAACTAATGTTCTTGTTAATTGACACTCTTTTTTATCAGAGACGCATGTCTAACATTTATTGAATTTATTACTAATCTAGCTTCTCATGATACTCGTCTACCATGCCTTGAACCTTTTCTGGTTGATATTTTACAACCTAAATTACTTATTCTTAAATTGCAAGCTTAATAGATTTTTCTTTTTTTTTATTGCGAATGTAATGTTCATCTTCCTCTATTAGAATAGGTGATAGATTATTGATTTTTTAGTTAACAGGTGATTGTACTTCAGTAACAAGCCGAGTCTTTAGGCAGCTGATTTATTACATTTCATAAAGTGCATTTTAGATTTTATCAACAAAGTAGTACTTGATGTCATCTTTTCGACTGTCATAAAACTCTATGCATTGCTAATACATTTGCACTACTTGATTAACACGTTCAATAGTGCATTCTTTAACTATTTTTTATTCAAGAGTAGACAGCATTGTGAAAAATTGTCTTGTAAGTGGTTGAGGGCGATCCTACTTGAAATATTCCTCAGGTGGTACTATGCACATGTCTTCTTATTAACGAGGATCAGACTTAGTGCGTGATCTGCTACCACCTAATTATTCGAAAGCTTGTCGAAAAATTCTCATTCTTAAATTTAATTTAATTATATTATTAAATGATGCATTTTTTAAAAGAAGAACTTTGATAATAAATACTTATTGCTTTAAATTAGTTCTTGATTAATATTATTTTGTTCCTCTACTTTAAATACTATAGAGGTTGATAGATGAAACTTAAAACTCTACTCATTTTTATTTTACAATTGAAAGTACTATTAAATGAGTTTTTATAATGAGAACCTTATAAATAATTGAGATATAAATTCATCTATATCTATGATCCAATAAGAACGATTCAGTTATAAAATTTTAGATATTGAGACATAATTTAATATCTGATAGAGTATAGCTTAAATAAAATGGATTGCATTAAAGGGTTACTCTAACTAATCTTTGGTTACTCGAACAAGAATTATATAATTAATAAATGATTTTATATGAATCACAATTTATTTAATTCTAAAATTTAAATAGATGTAATGATTTGGCTGGATGATTAATAAATTTATTATAAGATAATTTTCATCATGGTTCTTCCAAATGAAATAGATAATAAGGTGTTCTCAGAAGTACCTAGTCCAAAAACAGCACCTGTAAAAGAAAATTAAATGATCGAAAATAACTATGTTCTTAAAAAGGAAAAGATTAAGAAATATATGAAGGTCCCATTAAAGACTAAATAGGAGCTTCATCAGATGGTTTAATAGGAAGGAAAAAAAATAAAAGAAGTAAAATGATTTAGAATTAATGATTGTAGGCTGCCAAAGTTCTTGGTATAAAGTATGCAACAGCAAAGACAATAGTTTTTCATAAAAGACAAAAACGAAAAGAGAAGAAATAGCTCGGCATAAAAATGTGTGGTTATACTAAAAAAAATAAAGATAGAGCTTCTCTTTTTCGGATCATTTCTATAACTGGTATTGATAAAAAACACTGTATGGAGTATGCTTGGTGAATGGCTTTATGATTTTATATATCTATTTATATAAGAATATTAAATCTAATTAAATAATTAACGATTGGATAAATTACGTGACAGAGAGAGATAAGTAAAATGAAAGAAAATAAAAAAAATAAAGTATAAACAAATATAGAGATAGTAAATTATTTTCGATTGGTTTTTAAAAAGGTTGGGAGAAGTACATAAAATTTGATTACATTTTGGACAGTGATTTTGATGAAATTGGTTCGTGTCTTCTTTTTGAAAGGATTTTATAAATCATTTTTATGTCAAAAAATTCATTAAGATCGAAATCGAACATTTATGAATTCGTTTTGAATAATTCATTATAATAATTATAATAATTATAAAATTATCTCATTTATTATTTGGCCATTTGATTTTCTTCAAGAGATAATCAATCAAAATTTCTGGATTGTGCGTTTTCAGTGTATTTTGATTAATCCATGATACTTTTGGTGCACGGTTGTTCTTTTGTTTCCAGGAGACTTAAAATAGGAGGTTTTGTCCATCATTATCCTTTCTAATTTACAAAATTTCGTCTGCAGAATCACCATCATCATAATTTCCCTCTCCAACTTCTTGAGGCTATTTTTATTTCAAAGATTATTCGAAATCAAGCACATAGGTCATAACAGATTGTAGATTTTCAATAGGTTCCCAAGTTTTTTCATTATCGGAATATCCCTACCATTTTACTTCATATTCGGTTCTTCCATTCTTAACTCGTTTATTAGTAATGGCCTCGACCATATATTCTTCTTATGAGGAGACTGACACAGGAGAACCTGACATCTTAATTAAATTAATGGTGCTCATAATAAACATCTGGTACTTAAGAGTCTATTAATTGCCTGGTTTTAATTTGTTAATAATCCCATTATAAAATGGCTGTCAATGATGTGGAATCTAGGGTTCTTATTAAAATAATTAAATAGTATTTCTACTAAGTATAAAAACATTTAATTTAGACAATTCTTTCATACACATCCAAAATAAGTAAATAATTAGGAGTATTCTGAATATTGTAAAATGTAGAGAAGTCTTTGGGGATATTGAGTTTTAATGATTGGTTTACATTATAAAGGATTAATTAATATAATAAAAATGCCACCTAAAAAGGATGAAGTTGACTTAAATGCATTACCACCACTCAAGCATCTTTGCGTGGGCATTCGAATTGAAGCAGGAAAGGCTCGTGCTGGAAAATTATTCAACTTACTTAAGGAATGCAAATCATTTCAAAAGAATGTAACTAGAGAGGAAATAATCAACTTTTGTAAGGAGAAATAGTTGTATGTTGATCCTGCTACTTTGACGGATAAACAAAAGAAAGTAGAGTGTTGGTATTGATAATAGGATTCTAAATTTATGGCAGAAGTAGCTACGGAATTGACATCAGAAGTTATGAATAAGGGTTTTTAGATGTTCATTTAAGATTAAGTCTTGTCAATAAGGAAAGCCAAGTATTAAGCAGCTCAAGCATTAGCAGCAGAGAAAGCTGCTCCACCAAAGAAAGACGACAAGAAGGATGTCAAGAAGGGAGGCAAAGAAGCAGCGGCAGTTGCACCAATTCCAGAACCTGAAAAGGCTGTACCTGAGAAGGAGTACACCAAGAATTTTGACATCGTTTTCATTGTACAAGGGTTCCCTCAAGTACCATAAGAATAGATCGAATTACTCATGCATGTAAAAGAGAAAGTAATTAATTGGGGTGGAGTCGATATGAATCTCTTGGAACAAGGAGAAGATTTCCAAGAGGAATTGGAGAAGAGAATGGAAGAATTCGTATAACCAGTTACAATTAAGAGATCCTACTCAGAAGAATCTCTACATTATACTGCTGCAGAAAGGGCAGTCATTGAAGAAATTAAAAAACAAAGAAATGGCTCCCAAAAGACAGATCCACTTAGATAGCTTACTATTAAGGAATTGATCTTGGAAATGGATTTGGAAGTTGAGGAAGAAACCCTTAAATAATTCCATGAATAATTGATTGAAGAGATCTGCTAATTTAGTGTAGATCAATAGCAATTTAATGAATGGATTGTTAATAAGAAACCTATTCCCTTGATTACCAAGGAAGCACCCAAAGATCCATTCGATTTAGAAGTTGAGCGTATTAAGCATGAGGCTCATCAAGCAGAGGAGCAACAGAAGGCAGCAGAAGAGGCAGCTGTTGCAGAAAAGAACAAAAAAGGAGCAAAGAAAGATGCTAAGAAAACTGATGCAGAATTAGAAGCTGAGAGATTGGCTGAAATAGAGAAGAATAAATAAAACGAATTGAGAAAATAATAAATTGAAGAAGCTTTGGAATAACAACAGAAAATGAAAGCCAAATTACATTTATAATATTATAAGCGATAACTATCTGATGTGCAACTCTCAAAAGTAGGACCTTGCATCCTATTAGAATGTTTATTAGATTAGTTATCTGCTGAGGCTGCTTATATTTAAAGTTCTAAAGTGCCGCCATGTTTAGAGGATTAAGAAGATGCGGAACAAGTTAATAGACTTTTGGCAAATCAAAAAAAGGAGTAACATTAAGCAGAAAGTGCAAAATAGTTAATATTAGATGAATGTGATTGGATTGAAGTAAGGGGACATTTTGGTTAATTACATGATTAATAATGTATTGTTGAGAGAGAACATAAGATCTTTAATAATTTATGTTTCCCAGGTATTGATAGACAAGGCATGCCTGAAACAGCAGAGAAATCAGAGAAATTACGAAAGGCTAATAAAGCAAAGTTGCATCCATTTATAAATGTGGATGTAAGCGAATTTGAAAGAAGACAACTGCTCTTGTCTTTTGAGGAATTACTCAAAGAAAATGAGCCAGAATAAGACTGGTATTTGGGTGATCGTATCTACTTAGAGAGACATAATAAAAATACATTGAGACAACAGTTTTATGAGGCATTATTACACGATCCTCAAGTAGTTCTAAAATACTTACCTGATGATGATGCTCTTATGGTTTGTTGTTATTATAAGAATCCTCCTGGCAGAACATTAAGAAAGAAATGGTCAGCTGAATGGAGAGTTTTACCTAATTTGGAATACTTCATTCAAGTTCGTAATTTTAATAGTGAATACTATTATGATATTGATTACTAATAAATTGGGGCTATTACTGAGAGATCAAAAATAATGTACCCCACTGATAATTCATTAATAATTGCCACCAAATTTACTGTTGGAGAGGTAGAACGTATAAGGTACAGAGTTATTAAAGAGAATGTTGTTTTTGGAATACAAGGGGGATTTTATGCTTAATTTAGAGATTTGAGAATGAGTGCCTAAGATCAGATAATGAATTTGACATTTAAGAATGGTCTTTGCTTAAGGTTTACTTAGAAAGGAGAAGTAGTTTAATAATACCTTTATCAAAAACCATAAGAATAGACTCAGACATTGCTAAATTTATACGATAATGCAGAAATTAATCATGAATTAGAAATTAAAAGAGTTATTACAGGGTAAGGAACAGTTATTGTATATAAGAAAGATGGATCAATCATAGTATTATATGCAAATGGAAATGTCTCTATGTACAAAAATGACATGTGGATAACGACTAATAATAAAGGAATTAGAAAATCATAGAAGGGAATAGAAAAGGTTCCATGTGCAATTAAAAATGATCCTGAAAGTGGTGCCAAAGTTTATATTCGAGATGATCAAACTCTCATCATTTATTACAAGGATGGATCTCAGTATACCTAACATTATGATGGAACCATAATGCTTATAAAAGGAGATAAGGTGATTGTGGAACATCCTAATTTTGCTAGTGTTGTAGTTACAATTGATAAGGTCAAATAGAGAACTGGAACTATCATTGGAATGGGCAGTGCTTATGCAAATGTGGGTTTTGACAATATCTTCGAAAGAAGTAATGATGGCAGAGTGGTAGAAACCTTTTACTAAGGATGCAAGGTGATCTCTTATATCGAGAAATAAGAACTTCCAGAGTACAAGTAATACAAGACTAATCGAATTCATTTGATGTACACTCATGATGGAAGTGTTGCTAAGGTGGTTGATGATGGGGAAATTGTCATAGTTACTGCTGAAGAGAGAGTGAGACTCAATAATAAAGGAGAGAAGAAACCATTGGGATAAGACTTAGACTATTGGTTGTAATTGTTTTCTGTTTCAGATGAACGTAAAGCTGGAGTTTATACTATTGATTTGACTAGAAAATGTATCTTTACAAAGGATGAAGAATCCAATTACTTCTAAATTGATGAAGATGGAAATGTTACTTCTAAGATTTCAGTATCCTTAAATCAAGAACCCTCTACCCCTGATTACATTCCAGATGGCTTATTTGTTGATGAAGAAAACAAAGTGCTTCCACCACCAAAGTCATGGGTTCCTCCCAGATTATTTTTAGTTAAAAATGATAATACAGGTGTTGAATTGTTTAATCAAACTCAATTATAGGATTACTTCAGACTTAAATCAGAAAATCCATTCTGTAATAAATTAATTGATGAATTACCAAATAATGTCAAGTCTATTTCATTCATTACTGAATTGAAGAATCAAGCCAAAAAGTTCATTGAAGTCAAGATACCATAAACACTTGATATTGTACCCAAAACAGTTTAAAAAACAACTATCATTCCTCACAAAGTCTTCACCTATCGTAACTTCTTGGAGTACCTTCCTTTTGATAAAGATCAAAGAGCTCTACATGAGCAGTCATTGTAAAAATATGAAGTTTGGTAGAAGGCTATGTAGAAAGCTTAAAATGAATTTGGAGTTATACAAAAATCAGAAGATGAAAGAGATGCTGAATTTATCATCCAAATGAAAATTTTAGAAAGCAGAAGAACTGATTATTCATATGAATCCTATGATCAAGCCAAAAGTAAAATAGCTCTGCCTGATATGGCATCCAATGCGGTCGAACCCCTTGAATAAACACTAGTTAGAACAGCTAAAGTCTAATAAGTTGTCTAATAAGCATTTGTTGATGTACAAAGGAAAGTACAAACGATTTCACTCTAAAAATCCATCAAACCAACTTCTGAAGCCAAAGGGTTTGTCTAAAATTACTTTGATACAAAGGAAGGACATGAATATTTGAAAACAGCTCCAGAAAATCCTCCAATCAAAAAACCAAGAGACAGAATAGTCTAACCTACAGAGGAACAATAATAACAATAGTTAACATAGAACCAGCAAGATGCTTAAAAGACACTACTTGAAGGAATTATTCCATTAGAATAACCTTAACTGCCTTCACCTTAATATAATAATACAAATAATCTCACAAAAGTAATTATTAAACCCTCCGTTTTTACTCAAGCAGAAATTGATGATGAGTTTAAATAAAGAAAATAACTTGATGACTCAATTAGATATAGATAAGTAAAGAAGAAAGATTTTGATGTGTATGGAAAGGAAAGAAAAGATCTTAAATTAGTGCCTTGTCTTCTTAAGACTAATCCAAAATCTGAATTGAATTAAAAATATATTTTAACAGATGCCACCACTGACAATAGAATTAAAATTAGTTCTATGGCTACTAGAGTTTATCAATAAGCTGCTCCAATTAGTCAACTTAGAAATGAAGGCATGCATCAAACCATCATAAGGACTTTAGATAAGAAAAATAATTTAGATGAACTTATAGATAAAAAGAATCTCATGGTTACAAGCGATATCAATGATAGGTTAAAGAAGGATCTATTGATTTATCCTATAAATGTTTAGTTTGGAGAACTTAAACAAGGTGGATAATACGAGGTCAAAATTTCAGTTAAAAACGAGGATATCATGGCTTAACGCATAGTTTTAAAGTAACCATTGAATACAAATATTAAAGCATTAATGAAATAGATGGGCTCGGTATTCTAATTAATTTATTTATTTTTAGATATCTCTCGGTTTAGTTAGAGAAGTATTCGTTCTTATCAATGCAGAAAGAGTTGGACAATTTTCTGACGAACTCTAAATCATGTCAAAACATTCCATCTATACAATCCCAATTACTGGCAATGTTATGGAGTAGAGCATGTTTGATAAACTCAATTCAGAATAGATCAAACTCACTAATAAACCTCTCTTAAGAAAATATGTTAAGGACTTGAAAGCAGTACTATATTTTTATCATTATTAGCAGTCTAAACAATAAGACATAATTGGAGATAGTTAGGATTCTGATCTGCTCCCAAAGATGAATTATGACAAAAATGTCAAAATTGATCCCTTTTAGAATCAAAAGAAAGATGAATAATCATATGAGGAGGAAAATTGATTATTACAATTTATAATATATTAGTAGATTTATAAAATATAAGAATATTTCGTAATAGTTATTTTAATTAAATCATACTCTAATTTTCTTAATATTTTTCCGTAGTATGCTTTACATGGATTTGGTCTTTTCCAAGAAGTTTTTTACTCTTTCATCCTCCTTAAATTTATTGGAACGTTTAAGATTTTCAGCAAAGCTAAAAGAATCAATTTTGACATTATCTTTGACACATACACAAGTTTTTGCTTCTAAAAGTAAAGGTAACCAATTAAGAGTGGCTAAATTGACTGCTTCAGCAACGTTGAATCCACAATTGAATCCTTAATGGTAAGCTCCAGCAAAAATAAACATAAATTCTCCTTAATGATGAGCCATTTTTGAAATTCTAATTTCAGGAATTTTCTCCTTTAGCAAATACGGATTTATAACTGTTGTTTTATGTCTCAAATATTCTGAACATTTAGTAAAATGATCTCCATATATCTGTTTAGCATATTTTTCAAGAAGATGACTATCAGCTTCAGGTATTGAATACCAAAACCTAATGATAATTATATGGAATCTTTACTTGTCTTTGCCAACGTGAAGGTAATTGACACTGCAAAGATCTAAATCTTCTTTGTGCCAAGCAAAGAATGATTTCCAGGAACCAACATAAATATATGGTTCATTGACTCCTGGAATACGATTCTTGAGTCCAAAATTGAGTAAACTTGTAATTTGGTTAAGGTTCCAAGAATTGTCAACATCCATAAGACTAAGCTTTATGTCAGCCCCATAAAGAGGAGGACTAAAAGCTAAACTTTTCCAGTAAAGCCTTTCAAGTTGGTCTGAATTTAGTCCTTCGTGTTGTTTGTCTATTTCTGTTTGCTTAGCTCTATAATCTTTGAGAGGCATTGACTTTTTTAAGATGTGCAAACATTCATAGTTGCCACCCTTACCGTAAACATTCTACTCAATAGGACCTTAAATAATAAGATTGTCAAGAGATTTATTGTAATCTTGCTAGCGAATTCGGAAGTTCTTTGGGGGAACGATCTACGAATTAATTTAAATAATATAATTTACTTTCACCATCCCGTAGTTGGTCGAATATTATTTATCTATTTTCTCGATATAATCATAGAAGTTTTCGAACTCTTAAGATGTTGGCCGTAATACAGGGCACTCCTCGATGGTTGTCATGTTTTAAATAATACTTAAAAATCTTGGAATCAAACACGCCCTTTGAGTACCCCGGTCTGACAATATATAAGTTTATATTAAAAGAAAGGGAAAGTAAGAAACCTTAAAGATAGACGGAGGGAACAATTCTGGAGGGAGATTTGGTTGAGTGTTTTCACTTCGTTACCTTTGTTTTATGGCCATTGCATCTGCTCCCCTACAACACTTTAATTAATTGTTATATTAGAATCATTTTTCCGTATCTTCTATAATGTATTCCACACCTCGTTAGGCTTCTCTCCTCTAATGAGCGAGATTACTCTCAATTTCATTTGCAGCATCAATCTGGAAATGCGAAACTACCTACTAGATCAAATCGCTTAATTGAGCAAACCTTACAAAATTAGCAGTACTAGTTTCTGCCATTTGCTTTGATCATTCAAACTCTTACTTGCTAATGATGCATAATTGAGTTCATTATAAAGAAGTTTTATGATGCCACATTTTGAATTAGACTCTGCAGACTTTATTGCGTTTATCTCAGCTGATCAATTGATGCATTGATATCTTCCTGATCAGGTATCTGCTAAACCATTTCTATTTCATTTCTTCTCTTGATTTGATTCAAAAATTATCCTAATTAACTTGCAAGCCTTACTTCCCATCTCTTCTAAAGTATTTATGTTTAAATTCCAACACACCATTGTTGTGTCTCTTCTTGAATCCATACATGTTCAATTATCTATCCATATTTAAGGTATAATACCTAAGAAAACTAGGTAAATTCTTATGCCCAAAATATTCTGGAAGCAAGTACTATTGCAATCTCTCCTAATCTGCTAATACTAGAATTCGACCACTTTCATCAAATCTTAGTATCTCTTGTTCTTAATTCCCTTATACGATTGTATAAAGCTTTGTCAAAAATACAGGTATTGAATGTCCATTCTCCATTAATTATAATGAATAATACATCATTAACTCAATCAGGAAATTATAAACTGGCAAATCAGATTTTCTTATCTACACACCCTTACATGCTTTTACATGGGCATCTATTAATGAGGCTGCCTCTTAGAAGAACATAAACATATCTGGGTTCATCTTCCTATAGTAAGATATATTTAAATGTACAAATGGCAGAATTGAACTTGTTTTGACACATCTTCATAGAAATTTCGAATTGAGATTATTTCTAAAATTTAGTACCTGTTTTCCTGACCATAGAATGGAAAAACTAATACAAAATAAGATAATAAATAATGAAAAAAAGATATTTTAATATATATCCCAAGACTAGATTTAGGCATTTATTAATCCTAAGCATATTTGAGAAGGATTCCTCTTTGTTACTATTCTACAAGAACGTCAAATATTTATATTTACATAGGAGTTATTCAAGCTTAGTAGATTATTTTATAAAGCCTTCTTCCTTGTTTTTTTTATCATATTAAAGTCTTGAAAGAATTTAGCAATATAATTGCAATTATAGAATCTTTTAGAAACTAAATCTAAAACTTAAATGATACTATAAGCTGTTAAAAATGATGTTCATGTAATTAATATTAACAATAACACAATAGTTATTATTGTGTTATGTTAACATAGACTACAAATATATTTTAATAAAATAAATGGAAATTACTCCTCCACATAAAGAATCAAAATTTATTCTCCTTGTTATAAAATTACAAATTTGTTAAAATTCATTCTTATTGAAACAATTGATATAAAACAGAAGATTAATACTATTTAGAATTTAATATAATTTGAAGATTAAAGATATTTCTCAGACTTTTTATTCAAAAACCAACTAAAAATTAGTAATTTTTAGGGGTAATAACACAATTATTTTATTTTCCCTATGCTTTTAATAATAATATATTAATAAATAAATTTTACATTGAATATGATTGATTTTAGAATGTACTTATTGTTCCTTAATTCCTTTTAAATTAGTTATTCAAAATGCCTTTTAGATTTTATAAATCATACTTGTTCCCAATAATCCTGAAAAAATACTTTAGTAATTAGTAATTTCTTCTGAATTAGCAGTTTTAATAGTAAAAGAAATTTAGAATTTAATACCATTTATATATATTAATATTGAATTGAGCTTAATAAATTAAGTTATTAATATATTTATTCTAAATCTAATTAATGGCTTAAAATGATTCTGAAGCTACAAAGTAATCCTGCGATTTGCAGACAGTATCCAAGAGAATCACCAAACAGCAAGGTCATTGGAATCAAAGTGAGCACAATACTTATCTCAATTTTTTATTGGAGAATGCCAACCACACCAAAGGGTAAAGATTGTTCAAGAGAATGAGTTAAGTTGTTGGCACTCGTACACCTAGTTAATGCAGGTAAGAACCCTTAATATAAGATCGCATCACTAAAAATTTAATCCATAAAAGACAAAATCTTCTATAGATACAAGTTTTTGGAGATCCAAACAATTCGCCAGAAGCTACTTCGCTCAACACAAATAATCTAATGAAGATAGTAATTGATTTATCTTTGTAATTTATACTAAAATGTTAGTGCCCTTTTTAAAAGATAGTATCATTACTTATTTTAAATCTATATATAACATAAAAATTCAATTCAAGTTTCTCCCTTCTTTCCCTTATAAATTTTACTCCTATAATGGTAATTTCACAGCAATCAGACTCAGCCTTTTTAAATTATTGCTGCTCTGAAATTTGGACACTTGCTAGCGTTGATAAGGCATTTAAACTTACTTAACTTCCAATTGTTTGATTATGACCATTTACACCTACTGCAAAGTTCTTTTAAGCATACTCAATAGAATTGAATTCTTACTCTTCTGCTTGCTATTATAAATTCATTAATAATTTCTCCTTTAAACTTTAATACTTCTAACAATTCTGCCTAATATAATTAATTTATAATTTAATTTACTTCAGCAATTCAATCATTTCATAATCATATAGTGTTTATTTACTCTCATATTCCAATTCCAACTATTCCTTCAATTCCATTCTCTAAATGCTGAATTCCTAAATTAATTCAGAATAAATTTAGTTTTAACTGTAATTCTTTCCTTTATATTTATATCTATTTTATATAACATAATGAATTTGTGGAATCTAAGGTTTCTTAGGTTTTATAATTGATTTCTCTATCTTTTTGGACTAATTCAACATTTGATTAATTTTTTTAAATTCACTTAATTACTCTTAATATTTCACTTCAAATTTTTCAAATTATTCCTGGTAATACCTTTGTTCCTCATGAGCCAATAATTCCCATTTCCTTTGCAATAAAGTCCCCATCATATTGACCCCAACTCCATTCTACTAAAATATCTTGGCCTATTCTTTATAGAAAATTTAGTAAGCAGATATATATTATCTTTTTGGCAACTAATTAACCATTTTCACTTCAAATTTTTTTTATTTACTTTTTCGATTCTTTATTTCAAAAATAGAGATGAAAACATGATTAACTGACTCATTTTTTAATATATTGGGTCAGCATGAAAAAGGATTCAAATATTTAAATATATCAAAATGATTTATTTTGTTACTTATTTGTAGAGGATAAAATAAAATTGCATGAGAATCATTGAAATATTATGTACCAAATTTAACTTTAATAATTGAACAATGCAACTTGATAACTCCTTAAAATTCTATTAAATTGAGTTTATTTTAATGAATCAAAAGCAATATATAAATGTATATCAAATTTCTAAATTTTTTTAACTAATAAAAAGTTATAGAGTTTTTTTTATAAAATGTTGTTAAAACCCTATAAAATTTAGTTCTTTAAAAATTCTTACATTTTTAAAGTATAAATAAAATTCTGATTCAAATATTTATCTGAATATTTCCTAAAAGAATTAGTTAACAAATTATGATAAAAAGAAAGTAATTAATCAAATTTCGTTATGAGTAAAATTTTAGATAATAATTTAAAAAAAATGGACTATTGCGATTCTTGCAGAACTGCGTTGGAGGAGAGAACCCAATTGTTAAACAACATTAAAAACTTGAGGGGGAAACTGGAGAAGGCTGAAATGGAATTAAAAGAATTGAAAGATGAGAACTAATACTTAAAGGGCAAAGGACATGCATCCTAAAAGTTGAGAAAGAAAAATAATATGTTTAAATTAGAATTGGAATAGAGTTACTAAAAAATTGAATAATTATAATTGATTATTCAGCATAAAGATATGATAATCGATGACTCAGCTCTAATCGATAATGCTACCGAAAATACTCCTAAAATAGAAAAAGGAAAATGATGTGCTGAATGTTAAATATATATAATTTATACTTACTTTATATTCTAAATTTAATAACATAATTTATAATCTTAAACAATAAATCAATAGTCGTAGTGATTCGAGAATAGCAGATCCTTTCTTAGGATTAGAAATACTTGATAGAATTTAATAAATACAAATAAATTGAAAATAAATAAATGAGAGCTACTGTATTTAAATGAAATTATTATTTCTTAAGATAATAATAAGAGAATTAGAAAATTTGTAATATAGATAAAAAGGTATAAAAAAGTGAGATCTGAATTTTTAATTATTTAACTGAGATATAAGCTGATTGATAAGATTATTAACCTAATAGGTAGATTTTTTTTATTGCTGATAAAATTATTTTATATAAATATATTTTTGTAGGAGATTAAAAATGCGAAATTAGACTCTTAAATCTATTTTAGAGAACAGTGATCTTGAAATAATAAAGGCAAAAGCATTTGATTCAATTTCTTAACCTAATGCAACGGAGATCAATCTTCAGTTCTTGTTAGAAATTTTAATGAGAAATGTTTAAAAGTGAATAGTTTTTTCAAAGAATCCCTTTTCAATTCCTTAATAGAAACTGCATTTAATGGCGATGATTCAAAAATGAAACGGAAGTTAATTCATACTTTAGATTATTTTACAAATCTAACTACTTTTACTTTCTTTCTTCTCTGGAAATGAATTAAAAATGAAAACTAATAAGACATGTAAAATTTTGTTTTGAATTCAAATTCTATCAGTGAATTCATTGTCTTATTGATATCTTTAAGAATTAATGAATTTAGAATGGAACAATAATTGGTTACGATGATAGAACTCATAGTTTAACCTTTCCCAGAAGAAACAATATTAAAATAATATTCAGAAACCTAGAGATCGTACTTATCAGTAGGACTGTTTCATCCAAAAATTACTTCATTTGGTGTCAAATCGAAATCAGTACTACCATGGACAGCTGATGAAGTTGCTTTTGTGTTAAGTTTCATGAAATTAGTCGTTTTATGCTGGGTTATAAATAAAAAATGTTTTTGTTAAGTGGGGATTAAATAACGTATACATTTACTAAATTTAGTATTTCAGAAGAATCAATACTATCTCCTAGTTATTATATATTCAGTAGTGAGAAACCCCAATAAACATGGCCGCTAAGATGTATTGGCATATTGGATAGAGTTGGCAGAGAAATTATAGAAAAATCATGATCTAGAGGGGTTGCTTATTGTGTACATATATGGAATTCAATTACTCTTAAAAGACTACATAGGAACGATGCCAATACTATTTCGAGATCAAAGCAGAATATCTCGCATAAATGCTTTTTATGAAGAACATATAAAATCAAATTATAATGAGATTTAAAAAAATGAACAGTAATTCTACAATCCCTTCATTTCACAAAATTATTACCTAAATTAAGCGTTTGGAATAGCAAGTGAAAATGAATAAAACATTGTTTGATCAAATATCAGATATCTTATTGTAATTAGTTTTAATTTCAAAGAGATAATACAAACTTAATCAATGGATGAGTGCAAAAGTATGTAATTCGATTGATTTTCTTTTAGATTTATGACAATGAGGAAGAAATACTTTATTATTTTATTAAAGGAATTGAAAAAGAATTGGAAGTCAATCTCTAAATTCCTTTAGATAAAGAGACTTTGGTGTACATAGAATTGATTAAATTGGCTAAATTACTAATTGACTTTGAAATGATTATAAAAATGATGCAAATTGGTGAGCTTGTTTCATAAATTTTTTTATTTTATTTAACAATTAATAAATTATGAGATAACAATCGCCTAATTTAAAATAATCAAGGGCAAGTTCGGCTTAGCAAAACAATTCTGTAGCTGTAAGTCAAATTGAGAAATCAAAAATTGAAAAATAGCAAGTAGTCTCTAAACATGATAAGATGAAAAGCTATGCAAAGGAATAATAGAATGTTTCAAAAAAACATGAAACTGTATAATATCAAATTGACCTAATAGATGATAGAACCTACTAAATTAATTGAATAAAATGTGAAATTAAAAGAGTAGTTGTAGGAGCTAATTGTGCATCTTGATAATATTGTTAAAAATTAAAAAGAAAAGCAAAAAGAAGAAAAATAAAAGAAATTTGCCAAACCTTTAGAGCCAGCAGATAAAAAATCTGTTTTAAATCAGCAAGAAAAATAAATTAATGATAACATTGCACAAATCAGATTGTTATCAAAATAATTAGAATAAACCTATGATATAAATAAGTAATGATCATTGTTACTAGTTAGGATTAAGGAGAAGGAAGATAAGAAAAGGTATCTGGAAAACGAATATTTTAAATTATACAAAGAGTATGAATCGCAGCAGAAGATTGATCAAAAACAAAATGAAGGGTTGAAACAAATGGACTTGAAAGAATAATAATAAATCATTTCTTCTATTAAGAAGGAATTGTAGGATGAATAAAAAACATCTAGAGCTTTAATTGAGGAAATCAATAGAATTGAAAAAGATGTTCAAAAGTTGCACAACGAAAGAGTAACTAAATTAAAACAAATATCAGATCTCTAATAAAAAATAGCATAGAAAAAGAGAAATAAATAAGCTGACGAAGAGGTAGATGATAATAAATTGAAATAACTGGAAGATGAAATTATTGAACTCTAGAAAAAAAAAGATGAATCGATGAAAAATTATAGTGAGAAATACAAAAAATTGGAATCAGATAGAAACTAAGTTAAAAATGAAGTTGAACAAAAGAGAAATCTATTGATTAAATTAGAAAGAGATACAAAAATCAACAGGGTTTTCATACATGAAGCAAATCGATATTTGAGATTGAATGAGAAATCTTCATAAAGATCAAGTAAACCTGTCTTCTCTGCGCCCAGGAAACCTACAACACCTAGAAAGGAAACTCCATCTCCAAAATCAGATAAAGGATCAATTAGGAAAATTCCCTCTTAAAATAAGGTAGAAATTATCAAAGAAGAATAATTTGAAGAAACAGTACTAAATTTAGATGTTCAACAATAAAACTAAAGGCAACCAAGATCAAGGGAATAAACTGACAAAACTATGCATTAAGAAAAAGATATTCAAAAAGAATAGTCATCAAAGTCTACCGAATAAAAGGAAGTTAAATAAGAGAATACACAAATTGAAAAAACAATTGAATAACCAATTGAATAACAACCTACACTGCATACCAATAATGAAGAGGAAACTAAGAGTGTGATTGATTAGAATGATAATAGCACTCAGCAAAACCTACAAATTCAATAGCCAAAGTATATAAATATATTTAATTTTAAGCATTTATAGAAAACCAATGATGATGGTAAAAAAAAAGTGATAAAATTAATTTATTTATTTATCAGACAATATATATATAGATATTCAATATAATTTCATATAGCAAATGATAATGATTTTGATTCCTAATCTATGCTCGAGTTGTTATAATTATAATCTTTTGATCTTCTATTTGTAAAATATCGAATTTCTAAACTTGGTAAACGAACTCTCTCAACACTATTTAAACTGAATTTTGGTTTCAAATACATTTATTAGTTTCTGTAATAATCTTGTATTGAATTTAATAACTAATCTAAATTTAAAAACTTTTCATCTTTGTTTTCATGTAATAAGGATTTTAAAAATAACGAAAACTTAGATTAATTCAAGTTTATATAAGTTTTGAGAGATTTATAGAGATTAATTTCTTCTCTTGGAAGTTCTATGTACCTAGGGTTTATTTTAGTAATTTTATATTATTTAAGAAGTTCTGTTTAAGCTTAAAATTCTTCGTCAAGTTCAGAATACTTAATTTATAAACTTGCTAACTTCTTTCTAAGTTTCATGAGTTTTAACAACATTGATTCATGTTAGAGTTTGATATTTTCTAATTCTTTAGTTAGGTTTTAGAAATCCTCAGAACTTAGAATATTATATGATTTAACATTTCAACACCCTCTTATTTAATAATTATTCTTTCAGCAGTGCTTTACTTTTAAGGAGGCTTCATTTTCGCTTATAATATTTGATCAAGTGATTTTATACAAAACTACAAGCTAGAATAGAGTTGTTAAATCTTTGGATCTTCGTTTAGCATTATTAATAATAATCTTTATTATCAAAATAAAATACTTTATATTAGTATAAATAAATATATTTGATCCACACTGATATTTCTTTACATTTAGAAGAAGGTATTATATCATTTACTCATGAGATTCTGATTTACTTTCTATAATACTTTGGTATAAACTTGTAAGGCTATCATTTTCCCAATTTCTCAAATAACTAAATAAATATCTTAAGGGTTATTATTCAACCTTATTTAATTAATTATCAAAACAAAACTTAATATTCTTTTCTTCCTTATAATTACTTTCAAATAATTAGGAATTTTAAATCTATCCCTTAATTACTAGATTGAATGAGATCAAACTTTTTGATTTCTATAATTTTGATCATGATACATTTATGGATATCAACAAAATGAGAAGTTAATAACCCCATTTTTGAAATATATAATTCGAATTGTAACATATATTTAATAAATATAAATTTAATTACAAAGATGGAAATTATAATACAAAAAACTAATTAATAAGTCTGAGTAACAAGGGAATCTATATTTTTACTAAAAAAATAAAAAAGAAATTTCAGTGATTACAAAGGAAAGTGTATACCTTCAGAATGCTTAAAGTTATTATGTTAACAAAATGTTATTAATATGATGAATACACATATAAATTTCAATCTTTCAAGGTTCTCTATCTCATTTTTTCCATCAACTTTTTAACAGCATCTGCTTGCATAGATACTCCAGAATTGATTAACATCTTTGGAATGCTGCCTTTGGGATCAACATTCGCAATGATAATAACTTAGCAAATGTCCTATGAGATCTATTTAATCAAAAATGCGGAAATAATAATTTCGCAACGAGTATACTTTTTCTTATTAGGAACAGAATCTAACTAGACAGATTTAGCTGAAATAGATATTGAAAATATTACAAACAACCATATGAGTACCATCCTTAAGAACGATTCTTCTAGTTAGAGCAACCATGTCTCTTGGGTCAACCAAGACTATGGGGGATTTGCCAGCTCCATAATAAATAACATTATTTTCGTCTATTTTCTCTACAACTTAGGCCTAAAATGATTGATTTAATTACTTCCAAAAAATACTCATCAAATTCTGCTCTCTTAGTCATATCAAAGATAAGATCCATAGCCTTCTTTGGATCCACATTCAATTTCAATTCGGTTCTTGTCATCTTTAGTCCAACTTGATTTAATTTGGAATAAATGATGCAATCATTTTTATCATGTTCCTTGTTCCATTAACCTTCCTAAGGCTATTAATAGGCCATTTGAATGGCTTATTCTTAGATTTCTAGAAAATAAATTAGGAATATAGATTACAGTCCAATTAAGTGAGGTAGCTGTTTTACATTGCAGTTTAATTATATAAAAAATGGATTTCTCTTAATCTTAAAATGAAAATTTTAGTATCAATTTCTATATTGTTCAAATAAATAATCAGAAATGGATTCATTATTTAATTATAAGCTTATAAGAATGGTTATTGAGTTAAAATTGAAGTATGAAAGTTAAGCTTTGGTTTTTTGGTTTTTATTTATATTTGATGATGTTAATATTAACTTTATAATTTGTCATCTATCTCTGCTATTGTTTTAATGAAGAAGTCTAAGTAATAAGTTGAAATAATCATAAAAGAGTACCCTAACAAATCCAATAGAAGAGTACCATTTAATTGAATGTGAAGTGGATGATTAGTGCAATCGATGCACTTATGCTTAGATGAATGAAATAAAACAATGTCAAGTGAGCAGGCAGATTCAAAAGATGATTTGCTATTATTAGTTGGGAGATGATGAATAAATTAGATATCCATAGATAGATCATAAGGCTTGCAATTTGCATAAAATTGGAATATTTTCAGGCGAATTTCTAATAGTTGCAATTATCTTTGCAGTGACCTTATTTTCCTGGTATGTTGTAAGTAAAGAGAAAGATGAAACCGAGAAATAGCTGCTTTACAAAATTTTAAGGAGCTGAATAACAAGTTTGAATTCATTATTATTCATGTAGAAAGATTATAAATGATTGATTTGAATTATCTTCTTTAATACAATTATATGATAATATGTTATTGCAAGTATCTTTATTTGAATTTGGGAAATTTATGTGAGAAAAATAATTACATAAAATAAAATAATTAATGGAAGCAAAGAAGATTATTGGCTTTGGCAGTCCATTGCTTGATATTCAAGCTGAAGTGTCAGCAGAATTCCTTGAGAAGTACGGATTGACTCTCAATAACACATATTTTGCAGAGGAGAAACATTTACCACTATATGAGGAATTGATTAATATTCCAACTCACTCCCATGTTCCAGGAGGTAAAAGATAATAATCTATTCAAAGGATCTGCTCTTAATACTATTAGATTGGCTAGATGGATGGCTTAAGCAGGGTAAGGTCAAGTCAAATTTATTGGTTGTGTTGGATAGAAGGACAAATTTGCCAATATGTTAATTGAGGTTACAAACTAAGATGGAGTGACAACCTTATTTGATGAATAAGATCAACCTACAGGTAAATGCGGAGTGTTATTATGCAATAAGGATAGGTATTTTTATAATTTAGATTACTATTAGATGTTTGGTTCCATTGATAGGTGCAGCTGCTCATTTATCTGAAGCATATGTTGATTAACATATTGAAGATATCAAAACTGCCACTGTATTATTTAGTGAAGTGTATTTCTTGTATCCAAGAGCTGAACTTACAAAGAAAGTTTATACAATTGCATCAGAAAGTGGAGTGAACACATGCTTGACTCTTTCAAGTGTAAATGCCGTAAGTGATAAATTCAACGAGATTTTGGCTGTTCTCCCATATGTTGATTACTTGTTTGGTAATGAAGAGGAAGTTGATTAATTTGCTAAGAATTTGAAGTTTGAGGGCGATCTCCCATAAGTGATGTAATAAATAGCTGGATATGAAAAACATGGACAAAGAGAGAGAGTGGTTGTATGCACTTAAGGTAAGAAACCAACTTTGATTGCTAAAAAGAATGAAATCATAACAGTTGAAGTTTAGTTGATTGATGCTTCAAAGATCGTCGATACAAACAGTGCTGGTGATTCTTTTTGCGGAGGGTAATAATTAAGTTTACATTTTATTAGTTTTATTGCAGAATTATTGAATGGTCCAGATCTTGTTAAATGCGCTAAGGCTGGAAATTATTCGGCATCATAAACAATCCAACATGAGGGTAGCACAATTCCAAAATATGCACCAGTAAAAACATGGTGAAAAGATATTTGTTATTACATAAAATAATAAACATAAAAATATTTACATGAGTTTGAGTTAACAATTAAAGGAAGAAGAAGGAGTTATCTAACCCATTCAGCCTGTTTCTACAGTTCATAATCGTCGGAAAAATAAAAAAAGGCAAATTGTTAATCCTACTTAAAACACTGGACATTGGAGCCAATAAGAACATCAAACTTATTTAGATTTTCTCCAATAGCATAAATAAATTATGGAGTCTCAGGATTAAAAGAAAAGCAATAAAATCTTCAAATAAATGAGTGAGCTTATTGGGAGTCGCAGTCCTTCTTAATGTAGGTATTATGAATTCAATTTATAAATTAGGTCACATCATTAAAAATTCAATCCTTTCATTCACTAAGTCAAGAAACGATAAAAAGGTGCAGGGCGAAAGAGAAAGGACAATCAAATTACTTAGCCAATCTAGCATTTTTACCCTTTCTATCAATAACCCATTATATCTTAACATCAATTAGACTTTCCAATGTTCCAACCAACATACCCTGAAGAGATGGTCTACCCATAACCAATAACATCAGATAGAAGTCTCCTTTACAATTTTGGTTTCCTTCCTTAATTTCCTCTCGGCTTCAACTATTACAATGATTTATTAGTAAATTAGACCATGTACTAAAATGATAAAGAGAATTAATACGAAGAGTAGTGATAGTATTCATAATTTAAGTTTACTAAATACTGTGATAAATCTATTTTTACTTCATTAAATGAATTGATCCCTCTTTTCACTTTAGGCAGACAATATTGGACCAAAATTTTGAGTTTGGTTTTTGATCATGAGAGGATCACTTTGTTTTATTAGACACACAATTCTAACCAATAAAGAAGAGTAATTGAACCACCTTTTTCATTTAAAAATTCTTACTATCCTTATCAGATTGAGATTGATATTTATTATATAATTCTTTAGTATGTCATGTAACTACTCTATATTTTAATTTCCTTTTTACTTATGTTTATTAAAGCCATTCATTTTTCAGAATAAGAAGTCGGTCGCAACGTTAGAAGGTAAGTCTAATCATTATGGCAACTTTAGTTCAAAAAAGAAATATGTGTGGAAGTTCTTTTTAGATAATGTTGAACAGGAAATCGCCCTTTTTGTTTCGTCCCTTTCAGGCAAGAAAGAAGTTAGACACAATGGGAGATCAATTCATTAAGAATCTAGGTATAACTTTTTCCATATCATTATTTTCAGTTTTTTTGGTGATTTTAGATACCTTCATTACCTGTAAAAGTGTCTTGTAACTATTGCCCCTAGATCAGACTCTTATGAACTTTTTTTGGACAATATTCCTTTCGCTTAATATTATAATCCTCGCAACGATGTCAAAGGTAGGAATACTCAAAATCGGCCTTTAAACAATGAGGATAATGATGAATATGATCTCAGTCCTCTGAAGGATCCTGACAAAGAGAGGTCC